TGATGCTGAGCAGAATTGCGATAAAGTAAACCCATTGGAATAATAAGCACTCTGGACGCGTCATTTCGCCGGAAAAATTTAACATGTTGGTGCGAACAAAAAATTGAAAGCGTCTCGCCGGCACACCTCCGATTAATTAATTGCGTGTTTTATTGTGCTGAAATTAATTTTAAAAGCGAGTCCACCGAGCTAGCCGGTTGAACTTGAGCCAAGAGAACAATTGGAGCTTGTTTCTTTTTGCGCCTCAACTTGGTCGAGACAAATTGATGAGCGTGAATTTACATTTAAATGAGAGGAAATAGCAGTTATGGTTGAATTGATTAAAATTAATATTTATTAAAATTAAACTTTTATTACATCTGTATCTATGTGAAGAGAAGTGACGACAGTATAAATTCTTGTCTCATTGTCAGTAAAAGAAATTAATTTGAAGCTACACAAAACTGACAAATCAGGGGGGGAAAGGAAATATTATATTGATACTTTTAAAATATCATTTTTCAATATTTTTTAAATAAATTATGCTTGATTTTAATAAAGATAAAGCTAATTCCGAGATAAAAAAAACACTCCATCAATAGCAGCTATTTATGTTTTTACTCTGTCAATCCGTTTTTGACAATATTTGAAAAAAAAATATTATTTAATATTACAAGCAGAAAATGATGTTTTTGTAAGAAAAATATACATATATTGACGTATTGTAAACAAGAAAAATACAAATTTAATTTAATTTGCTGAAAACAATAAGATTCTTTCAACTGGGAAATTTTCACCTTCAATTTGGGCCAAAAAAGCCACTTTTCCAATTTAAAATAAGGTTTCTTCACCTATACATGAATCAGCCTCTGAATTTGCGTGTCGGACAGAAACGAGCGTTTTATTCAGGTAGTTAATCTGACGTTGCTTTGCTAATAGTTGCGTGCGTTTTGTTTTTCGCGTAGCCGAGCGTTGACTAACCGACCGAAAAATAACACAATCAAATCGTAAAGCCGACGGTATTTTAATCCCCGGTTACTCAGTGAGCGAGAAAAAACGACGAGAGATGGTCGCGCTTCTTGAGTCACACTCGTTCCCCAACCCCAAAAGCACCTTTTGTTCTTCTCCTGGAGCGTCCGACCGTCAGCGGCTAAATTTAAATTTCAAAAGGTTTAAATTAAATAAATGAAAATAAATCAACGCGGGTCGCGTTCACGGCCCGTTTCAAACTCGCTTTGTTCGCCGAGTCAGATCAATCTGCCAACCAGTCACTCAGACTTTCTCGAAAGGGCGGCAAGGAGAAAAAAATAAAAAAATCATTTCAACGCAGTTTGCTAATGGCTACGGTTGCGTAAATAACGATGGCGGCGGACGAAACGGAGGTGTGAAAAACATTCTCAACAATTAATGCACTGAAAATATATTTAAAGCATGTCTTAATTTCGAAATTTTTAAAGGAGAGAAATAAAACATACATAACAGAAGATTTGGGGCCAAATTTCCTGAAACGTTGAAATTTCGGCAACAGACCCAAACACAGCATCATTTAAAATTTGAATAAAAGTTTGAAAAATTCGCAGCTAATTCATTTTAGAGTTTTTGTAAAATTAAAATAAAATTTTCCAATTTTTATTACAAAATTTCTGTATATTCCATGCCATTATTTTATCAAAATAATATATAAACATTTTATAAAAAAATACCCCTGTAAAGATTTTTAATTTTTCTAAATCAAAATTACACGAAAAATTTCAGACAATTTCTGTAAACGCGTCGTGATTGTTTCATAATTATTTAAAATAATATAAATTGCTCTCAAAATAAAGCTTAACTTTTAGATTCATAAAAATCAATATAGAAAAACAGATTTAAATAAAAATGGCATCATTTTATAACGAAGTTAATATTTATAACAAATATTGATGCACTTGTGAGTTTTTTATGATAAAACCTAAGCTCTTTTGGGCTAATCCCGCTAAGTAATCTGAAGATCCGTCAACACTAATTAAGCCCCGATTTGATCTCGGCGGGGGTCGGACGCTTAAAAAGCAGTACGGCGCGTCAATAAAATAATAATGGGGCAGCGCAAAAGCTGATGAGAGAGTTTGGATCTCTGTCGGCGGCGGCGGACCAGATGAGGGCCGCGCGCGTTATAAAAAGATGAGGCTCTCTCGCGCGCGCGTACGTAATTTTAGTTTTGGCCCACAACTCTTTCTGCGGAGGTGGTGCATATATCGTTTCCAAAACGCCAGCCAGGCACTGACCTCACTGACGCACGCGAAATTCGTTTCATTTGCATGAACATATAAAATTGAATTGTTTACGACTGGTCGGAATTTAAGTGAAGAGGTAAAATTATGAGCTGCGCTAATAAATTTCTGTGCATCGCGTTATTTCAAAGATGAACCTAAAATTATCCAAAGACATCCAGTCGTAAAAAAAATATTTAAAAAAAATATTTTCCTGGGTTAATTGAAAAAGTGGAATTAGTGTGGTTCAATTTTTTGATTGAGCGTTTTATTTGAAAATTTAATATTGACAAAGTTGCTGTGGTTTGATTTCCATTTTATTTATATTTACTTGACGCATTGCTAAAGTTGGTATTGCATTCCTGGTTAAAGGATTTTGATTAACATTTTCTTTAAACAAATTATTTCACATTTCAAAGACCAAAATTTTACCAAAAAATCCTCATTTTTATAATTTTCTTCCACTATTTAATAAAAAAAATCATAATTTTTAGTCCATTTCATATTTTAATTATTTCTGCTAGAATAAAAAAAAGTGCTTTTATAGTAACAAAATCAATCCTCGATAAATATGCATCTTTTTTACAAAAATTTGCACCAAGCCACTGCAAGCCACCAAAAGCGTAAAAAAGATTTTATTTTTCTTCAGTTTTCGCCTTTTAAATGCAATGTTTTTCCTGAAAAATCAAATATTTCAAGAAGTTCGAATATTTTGGACCTTTTTTTAATTGTCTTCAGACATGAATACTCATTTTTTTTATCGGTTAGTTTTTTTTTAAATTGATACGAAAAAATTATGAGCTGGATTTTGACTTTTTACAAATTATCATGAATCATTTGCACGCGCCGCTTAGATTTGAATCTGCAGTCGATCTAATAAATCAGCCCGCATGAAGTGAATTATAGGGGTGTGTGTTTATTCAGCTTGTCCGTTTGCCAGGAATGAGAATGAAGTCTCCATGTGCACCGAGAAGAAGATCTAATAATAGAGGGGATGAAAAAAGGCGAGCGTAATTTGTGGTGACGCCGCCCGACGACTCCCTTTGACACAATCTTTTGGTTTCGGGTTTTCCGAATTTACGATCGGATGTGGCGCTCGTTTGTCGGAGAAACTTGCAGGAAAATTTTAAATTTCGAAATGAGCTTCACTGATTGGAATAACAAACCGTCTCGTCTGTCAGATACATAATTTTTAGGTTAAACCAAACACACTTGAAAGTTCTTTTTCGGAGAGGGGTCGAGAGTTTGAGTTTCATCCTCTCAGCCTGAAAAAAATAAATTTTGATTTGCATGGTTTACCCGCCGTGAGATGTAAACAAAAGAGAATCTCCTGTCAAAATATTTATATTGATGACATTTTAGCAGAACATTAGATCTATTTTTAGAACCTGAAAAAAAAAACTATGAAAACGTATATTTTTAATATTGTTTCCTTGTATATTAATAAATTTTAATTTTAAATCATTTTGATGCCGTTTTTATGCCGTAAATACCTATTATTTTTAGGGATCTTTTCCATTGATACATCACAATTGTAGATTTGATTAACATCAGATTAATATGAACTCAAGTTTTACGGTAAAATTCACTTTCATTTTTGGTATTTTTTCCTGGGAATTAGACAAAGTATTAAATTGTTGAAATTATTGGTGTTTGAATTTAAATTTGCTTTTCCTTAATCACTTTTTCGAGTCATTTATTGCTTGGTAGAAAAAAAATATCCTGTTCTACACGTTTCAGCCCATCGAGGAAAAGCCAAATTTAAATTCAAACTCGGTGCGTGAATCAACCCTCGAGCAAGTCGAGTGTGAAATTCTTTCAATAGAAGAACTGACAATTTCAAGGAATCGGCGTCATATTAACTTCAAACCCAAACTTAACTTTTGAATAAAATGTATAATGGGAAATTTGAATTAATTTTTTTTTTTAATTTTAGAGCAACATGTCGTTAATGTCGTTTCTCAGCGCAGTTGTGTCTCCACTCTTCCTCTAATAATTTTTTGCCTGACAAATATATGCAACCCGCGCAACACAGAAATTGAATTATTTGCTCATAACCTTTTTTAATTTCAAAATATTTCTTTTATGCCCGCGAAGTTTGCATTCAGGTCAGCGTATACTTCCATTTCCTATTTTGAAATACCAGATGAGTTCAGTCTTTCCTGGCTTTGAAGATTTGGACATTCCCCACTGATTTTGGATTTCAAATTTGGAAATGGAAGTTTGCTTGACCCGAATGCAAAGCTTGTGGTTATAACAGGAAATTTGTAAAATCTGAATAGTTTGTGAACAAAATGTTCAATTTTCTTACTTGAGCAACATGAATATGGACAACCTTGTTGAAGACAAGGTTTTCTTATTTCCAAAAATTATAATCAGTAATTAAATTTATTGAAAATATCACCATAGTTTGTCTTATTTTGCCCGAATTTATGAGTCAAATTTTGCCTACTATTTATGCCAGGAAATAATTGGATTTCATGTAATATTTAAATTTTTTAAATTATTTTACAGTCTAAATTAAATTTACAGTCTTAAATTTATTAGATCCACTTCAGATTTGCCCCCAAAATTCTGCATTAAATGTGTTGATTGACTTTTTTAAAGACGAGGAATTTTAATTCTTGATGCAATTAATTAATTTTGAGATGATATCTTTGTCGCGATTGGCGCGTCTTTCACACGTGCGATCCTCGAGTTGTTCGCGGGTTCACCTGGCGGTGCTGCGAACCACGAACGCCGCAATGCGAAGAAGAACTTTGGCAGTCGCTCGGCTGCGTCGTTCTGGCGCGTAGGGCGGGAGAGCGGCCGGCCGGCGAGGGGAGCCACGGAATTAGCCGTCGGACGGAGGTGCTCCAGTTTTGCTGCTGCAACATGGCCGACGAGGACGACATGCTTAAGGGCATCAAGGGCGAGTTGTCGCCGAGCGATCGCGGCAGGGCGCCGCTCGCCACCCTCGAGACCGAACTGACCTTTCACCTTCGTGAGCCAGACGAGGTGCTCGTCCGACCGGCCGTCCGACGCCGAACGTCCCACTCGAGGGACAGGGCGGCCAGCAAGGAGGCTCGCAGGTATATTAACAAATATACCGGAAAATTAAAAATTTATGTTTTTAATTAAATACGCAAGGGGGCTTCTCTTTTTTTTTTACTTTCGATGATTATTTTCGGACTGGACTATTTTTAGCCGCAGTGAATCAACTGCTCAAAATTTCTTATACCCCCTTTTGTTTTGCTCCTCCAAGTGAGCAGACAAGCAGTTTTATTCAATTAGAGGCGGTTTTCCACAAGAGAAGCCGCATAGTGGAAATTTTTTATGCAAATTTAAATAAGTTTTTATTTTTATTGTTCTCCCGGTAAAAATTATTTTGAAGTTTGGATTTTTTCATAAGTTTTTGTTTTGATCTTGAAAATAAAGGGCAATGAAAATTCCACCTCATGAATTATTTTGATAATTTTTTAATTATGTTTTGAGTTTGTAAGTTTTTGTTTATTAAATTTTTTAAACATAAAAAAATGCTTTATTTACTACTGAAAATTTGCTCTTACCATTTTTTTTAATTTATTGATTTAGAGCTGCTCTGTACGTATTCAATTTTATGATTTTCATGTAGAATCTCTTATTTAATTCAATTTTTATAGCAATAATGCTTATCATGGCATATATGATATTTTAATTATTTTAAAACTCACCTGCATATAGAAAAAAGTTAAAATGGTAAATTTTTCAACAAGTCGCCTCTTTCGAAATTAAAGTTAGCAAATTTCCCATAATATATCTCAAAATTATTATATGTGGCTTCTTCATTTAAAATAAAGTAAATATTTTAGCCATTCAATTTCAAATATTTAATTTTTATTTAAATGCAAGTGCATTGGTTCGGAAAAAGCTCGCGTTGAAATTATAATTTCACCAGATTTTTCACTTTAAATTTAAGTGACACGGTGCAAATTTTCTCTACATTTGAGCAGACGGAAACGCCTGGCCGAAATCCAACAGCTGGAACAGGAAGAGGAACGAGTCCCAACTCCTCTGCCACCCCCGGAACCTGCCGAGGACCAAATCAAAGAGGAAGATGAGGAAGCCGAAGATCAAGAGGGGTCGAGTGAAAAGCAGGAAGAAGCTCAAGACGAAGAGGAAAGACCGGGATTTTTCGACAGCTACTTCGAAATGATGTTTGAGGCTCGGCACGTTTGGCCGCAGTTCAAGGCTGATAACGCCGAGGAGTGGGAAAAGCTTAAGATCGAGGCCAACAGGTTAGGTGTGAACTTGGTGCGAACCACCTGCAAGAGATAAGATAAAGATAATTGCATACAAATAGGAAGTAAAACGTACAAAATAGATAGGAAAAGGAAAATTAATGATAAAAAGTAAAATTTTCAAAGTGGAATTTTTTCCGAGTTTTTGTAATTTTGCTTGCAAATCATTATAAAAAATTTTAGGAAAAATAATATCTTCACAAATTATTATATTGTTGTACATAATCCCACTTTAAAAAGAAAATTTATTTTTAATAATTTATTTAATTCACTTAAGTAATAATACTTCATCTCTTATAAAATAAAATCTGAATTGGCTTTAATTCAGCGTCTTCTGAACTAGTTTTCTCACAAAAAATTCAGGTGTTTCTGCGCCTTCGTGATTCTCTTCCTCTTCTGCGGCTTTGGCGGATTCGTCTTCCGCTTCATCGAGAGCACATTTGAACAGTTCTACAAATGCGGGGTCAAGCGGGTCAAAAGGGATTTCATCGAAAACCTGTGGGTCAAGAGTCAACAACTGCGCGAGGAGGAGTGGAAGTCAATGGCGCGCAGGAAGTTGTGGGAGTTCGAGGACCAACTCCAGGTCGCCTTTGACGCCGGAATCAACACCTACTCCGGCAAGCGCTCCTGGAGTTTCCTCAACTCGGTCGTCTACTGCATCACAGTGGTCACCACAATTGGTAAAGAAAAAAATCAGACCCTTGTATTATTAGGGTCTTTTATACTAATTCTTGTAAATTTAAAAAAATGTGTGAAATCTTATTTTTAAATTATTTGATTTTTTTTTCATAAATTTGAATTGAAATTATGCCAGAATTTTTGCGTTCTTTAAACTAACACAGGATCTTCTATAAGAATCATTATTTGAGGTTTGTTTTGGTGGAAAATTTATGAAACTGTTGAAAACATAAAAATTGCATTTTTTGTTGCTTGCTAATGCGTCATTGTCATTTTATTTATTTGAGAGCTATACTTACTGACTTGGTACAGTCGCAGCACTCAACATTTTTATCATTCTTTTATATTTGATTACAAGTTTTCCGCACTGCAGATACAACCACCCTTTTAAAACTCAATTGCTCCAGCCGGCGCACACATGGTCGCTCGACACGAAAGAAAGACACGCTCGATAGAATTTTAAAAAGCCTGAGCGAAGCGCGTGGGAAATAAATTACGCCTCACTTTTTTAGCTTTGGAATCGTGAAAAAAGTATCTAATACTTTTAAACATTGTTTAAATAATTATTAAAAAAATGCTGAACTGTTGGTGTTTAAAGTGCAAGCTGATTTTTAATCTTTTGGATGATTTTTTTAATTTAATTTTGTCTTGAATGCAGGCTATGGTCACATTGTGCCTTCGACAAACACAGGAAGGGCGGTCACCATCATTTACGCAATTTTTGGCATCCCATTATTTTTGATACTGCTGGCTGACTTTGGTAAGATGTTCACCAGGGCCATGAAGTTCCTGTGGGCGTTTGTCCGCAGACTTTATTACACCGGCAGCTGTAGGAAAGTCAGGCACACCGGGCCTGTTCAGGTAATAATAAATAAGAGAATATTTTTGAGACAATATAAAAAAATCCTGTTGAATAATGAACACAATTTATTTTGGTGGCCGGTTATAAAATAAATGAGTGGTGAGTATATTCTTTCTTCAATTTGTAGAAGTTCCAAATTTTTGCTAAATCAAAATCACCATTGCTTTGCATATAATTCTAATTAAAATTATTTCTTACATATTAAAATGGGAATTTGTATTTCAGGACATGATGAAAGGAGTTCAAATGGTGTATGACATCGCCCGTTTCCAGAAGAAGCCTGGCGACACCAACGGCACCAACCGTGGTATCAACGGCGCCGACCCTGAGGAGGCTGGTGCGCAAATGCAGGAGCTGCTGGGGGTGCCAGGTACGGGTGGAGAACCACCAACACCTGCTCCCAGCAACTTCTGCATTGATGACGAGTTCAACCTGCCCATATCCGTGGCATTCGTCATACTGGTCATCTACATATTGGTCGGTGCCTCCCTGTACTGCATCTGGGAAGAGTGGTCATTTTTTGAGGCTTTCTACTTTGTTTTCATTTCCATGTCAACCATCGGATTTGGAGATTACGTCCCCAATGTAATTACTTAAAATTAAAAAAAAAAAACTATATTTTTATCAATAAATTTTTCTAACAGCATCCCATGTTTATGATGGGCTCGATTGTTTACCTGGTCTTTGGCCTGGCTTTGACCTCTATGTGCATAAATGTCGTTCAGGTAAAAAATTATGAAAAAAAAACTAAGGAGAAAGGAAACTAATTTTTAAAATTAATTTTTAGGTGAAGTTGTCCGACTCGTTCAGACAAGCCAGTTCCAAAATAGGAGCCTCCTTTGGCCTGAGACTGGCAGCAGCGGCCGCTGAAGAAGAGGCGGCCAGAAACACTCCCGGCCAAGTCGAATTGGCCGAGGTCCATCACCCAGCGGCCAAGAAAGCCAGCGAAGAAAATTTGGATGGTCTCAGTGTGGAGACCCAGTGATAAATTATTCAAAATTCACCCATTGAATTTTGACGATTTTTGAGATTAAATTTGAACAGACTGAGCGAGTGTGTGTGAGTGAAAGGGGCCCTTTTCATTATTGCGGCTTGTGATTATTGTTTTGATTGCACAAATATGTTTAGAAAATTTAGCGTCCTGGTTTTCATTTATAAAAGATTAAGTGCCTTGACGGTGTGTGCTCACTCGCGGATAAAGGTTGATTATTATGCCAGATAAAATACAAGTTTCAATGTCACAAAATAAATGACTTCTAACCTATGAGGAGTGCTGACGATTATTTGAAAAATACGCTTACCAAAGATAAAATGATGCAAATAAATCTTATTCTACATCTTAATAATTCAAATGAGTTTCTTTTAATGAATCAAACATGTACAATTAGTTAATAGAATTTTTGAGGAGAATGAAAATAGAATTCATAAATCAATCAATTGTGATGAAGAAGCTTATTTAAATAAAACTAGTATTTAAACAAACACTTTCAAACTAGTTTATTAATGATTAAAATCTAATTCAAGAGCATGTTGTGTGTAAAAATTCTAATTTAAAGAACTGACTAGATTATATTTCCTTGCAAAAACACAATGCGCGAGGAATATGCAAATTAAATTAAGTACTTAAACAAGCCATTTACATTCAAGTTTGGCACAAAATAATAAAATTAGACATTTAAGAAAAGATCACATAAGTAACAGAATGTCTAGGATATTAACAAGTCTAAATGAGATTGGAATATGGCCAATTTGAGAGGAGGTACTCCGTCGAAACATAGTCCATTTGTTTGTTCTCACTCCTTTTTCTCGTGGTCTGAAACAAAGTGCTTACGTCAGAAAGCTAAATTGCTTTTCTCTCTTAAACTTACCCGGTTCCTCTTCTTCTTCGTCTGCGTCCATGATGTCGGCGCAACAGATCGAGTAGCAGATCAGACTGAGGAATCCAAGAGGCAGTCCGAAGAGCACTGAAGTCAAAACAGGGTTGCCCATCCACATGTCATACAAGGCAGTCTTTCCCTCAAAGAAAGCTCGGTACAACTTGACGAAAAACGAGTTACCTCCGTAAACCTAAAATTTAATACCTTTATAAATATTAAAGCACAAAATTTGAAGAAGGAACTGACAGGCGCGGACTCGTCGAGAATGGTGTCCAGAAAATGAATGATTGTTTCCGGAGTCAGTCCCGTAGGTCCGAGAAGTTGATCTGTGGGCAGGTGGTGGTGATTTGTGGTGGCATTGATCACGATCAGACTCGGAAGGGGGAGGACAGTCATGGCCACAGAGTTGGCCAAATCAGGACTTCCTGTCCAACCAAACTGGAAATGACTGAAGACCAAATTTAATTTTTTTTTCCACAATTTGAAATAGAAAAATCTTACTTATGGTACCTGTCCTTGTTTTCCCGAATCACAGACTCAATCATGTCCCGAAACCTGTTCAAAGTCATTAAATTTAAAAATGAATCTTATTTTATTTTTAAAACTGACTCAATCATGTGAGCTGGCACGTCCTCCAATTTATTTTCTTCAACGACGGCCAGGACAAGGTTTTTGTTACTGGCCAGCGTTTGGTGGATGTTTCCTCTGGTAATTTTAGGGAATGTGTGGAACCGCTCGGCATTCACCCAGTGGTGCAGACTGGCGTTCACAATCTGCAACCGCTCCTCCTCAGTTTCTCCTTTTGAGGGTGGTTCTGGTTTATCAAAATTAAATTAAATGAGGATTTTATGAAATAAATATGTTACCTTCGTAATAAAAGTGCATTGTGTCCTTGTACACCAAAACTGCAGGAACTTTTTTAAAGTCTATGTGCTGGGGTAAAAAACAAAATAAACCAAATTAAGTATTTACATTATTGCGCCTGAACTCACTTCTCTAGCAGTTTCTGGTGCCACTCCGTAAAAGTAGCCGTGCGGTTGGAAAGTTTCAGCAATCGAAGCATACGTCTCCTACAAAAATTTAAATTTTGTTTAGTGAAATTGTCTAAAAAATAAAATACAAAGAAAATGGTCAATAAATAAATTAAATCACCCATAGGACTCCTTCGTATGGCCCAATGTAGACGAAGAATAGGGAAATCGCCTTTCTCAGGTTTGCGATGCTCTCAGGCCTTGTGATTCGTTGAACAGGAGGACCTGAGACCCTGAGTGCAAAGTCGACAATGTCCTGTTTTGTTCTATCTCCTCGGAATGTGAAAACCTCTTCTCCCTTCATGCTAGGAATGAATTTTGGTCAATTATCAGAACTTGGTAGTTTGAAGATTTCTTACAACATGATCGTGGGAAAGCCGGAAATTTTTAACTCAGTGGCGACTGCTGTGAACCTGGTGCAGTCGACCTTTCCAACCCTGATGTTGGTGTTGTGCAGGGTCTGCGCAACGTGGTTCCATATTGGCTCAAGTCGTTTGCAGTGAGCGCACCAAGGCGCATAAAACTGAGAGACAATTATTGCAGTGCGAAAATCATAATCGGACATGAAAAGAACATTATACCTTGACCAGCCATTGGCCGTCCTTTCGAATGTCCAAAAATCTGCAGGGAAAAATATACACACGGGTTAATTTTAGATATTGATCAGTTGCATTTGTAGGGAATCATTAACTAGCTAATTGACTGGCGTTGCAAAGAGTGGCGTAGAAAATACAAAATATTATACAAAATTAACGAAAAAAATTCTGAACACTTTCTTTCCACACACTTCTTTCTATTAGTTTAATTAATTAATTACAATTTAATAAATTTACCTGTCGCTCAATTCAAGAACTCGGCTTGCCCCACCCTGGTGCTGCAGACCTGAAATTCACACGCAAATTAATGAAGAAATATTACGTAAATGTATTATATATTAATGAGCGATAGATATAATTATTTGAGATGTACCAAATTCAAATTAAATTCTCACCGAAGATAAACAGCAGAGAGAGCAAATGGAGTGAGCGTGTCATCTTTGCCGTTCCGAGCGTTTCTGAGTTGGTGCGTCAAAAGAACGGGAGAGATGAAGAAAATTGAGAAAAAATAGGCCAGCAAACACAACTAATGAGAGACGCGTAAATTGTTTAAGATCATCTCATGGTCGCACACTGTGTGAGTCGCTTTCGAAATATTCATTCATGTCAAAACCGCTTCTCGCAGCTAAAAGCTAAATTCGTGATGATGTGCGATTTGTTTTGATACCGATCGCGAAGGAAACAAAACACGAAAACACTCGCATGTGCCACCTGGCGGCGAATTCGGCGAAATTTGCAAAATCGGTTACGCCCCCGTTCAGACTGTTCAGAGCCGGTTTCCAAATAAAAATAAAATGCAGAAAATGGATTTTATAATCAAAATTGCACAATCACGTTACTTATAATCATCTAGAACCAACTGAAAAATCATTAAGGTATAATTAAATTTTCCATATAACGTGATGAAAACATGCAAAAGATTCATAATGTACATAAATTTTCAGTCGCTGTCAACTGTCGACCTCTGACATTATTATTGATTTTTTTTGCTGGTAAAGAGGGTAGTGAAATTTTGTCACTTAAATTTAATCTTATTTATTCCATCTTTTAAACCGGATTAATTTACGATATGTACACACATTTCTTTATGCTATTAATCTATGTACTATATGATTAATTCTTTTTCACAGAATATAAACAACAAATATCATAAAAGAAAAAAAAATGGCTAGTCCGGAGGAAAAAGTAGAGAAACCCAAGAACCATTCACCCCATGCTGTTAATGAGCCATGCCTGGCTGCGAGGATGCCATGGTTATCTCTCAGGCGCCCCCAGAACCTGCCAAAAATCACAGACATGGCTTACTTTCAAGATCAGATCAGTTTGTTGTACGAAAACACAGAGGACAGCAACAAAGAGTTCAATATTTTTTTGTACCGACTGTGGACTCTTTCAATGCCATACATTTTGCCAGATATGTAAGTAACTTAGTAAATATAAAATAAATATACTAAACAAAAATTTTTCTAATTCTTAGGTGGCAACTCTATTCCTCATACTGCTCGTTCCTAGAGGCGCGTCTACCAGAGGTTAACCCTGAGGCAAAGATGAGATGCGCCTTGTACTATTTCTGGACTACCCAAGCCCACGGAAAGGAATTTGTAAATGCTGTAACTGAAGCTGTTGACCCTAAATTAGCAATGCAGTCAAACATTCTTGAGTATCTCCATAAAGTCCGTCAAGGTGTCTCGGTACACATTTTTCTATATCATTTTTACTTCATTTCAATTTATAACTTTTGCAGCCCCTAACTGATCAGTGTGCCACGTTACCCAACAGCATTGTCAATCTCTTGCAAATTCTCTACAACCCGGTCCTGCTGCACCAATGGTTGCTTGTGGTCACGGAGCAGTATTTTCGAATTTACTCTCAACTCATTGTGCCACCCGTACTAGAATCTGTACCCCTTGGCGTTAAACAAATGACGGAGTCACACAACGCCCTAATGGCAGAATTTAAATGTCACATCAGTAGTTTGTTTGAACACTTGGAAACAATTAGGAAATCAAGTTGGGAGCGCAAGAAACCGAAAGAGGTGTCCAGGATATGTGCAGAAATATTTGACACGCATGTTGTAAAAATACTCTTCTACATTAAATTTTATGGAAGAAATCAACTTGTGTCTAAAAGATTGACAGATTTGAAGAACAAAGTCCTTCACAACAAAATGTACACAGACACATTGCTCTTCAGCGAAACTTTGATGCAACAGCATGACACCTCCTTCGAACATGGTTTTAAATTTTTCAACGGCAACAGCTTCACTTCCAGATTTACATTCTCGACGCCTGACCTGCCACCTTTATTTGCCAGTGACGATGCACCTCGTCGACCTCCTAGCTCTGATGTGATGCTTCGGTATTTCACCCCAGATTATGTAGAAAAGCCATGGTTGAAATGGTTTCCGACGGAAACTGAGTTTAACGAAGCTCATTTTGACATCATATATCTTCGTGGTCCTCACTTCAAACAGCTTGTTGATGAGCTTGACATGCAATATGGTGAGTACCCAAAAATACAAAATTGTAAATTTTCTACAATATTAAAAATTAATAAAAATTTGGGTTGAAAATGTTTTTTAAATTTGAATGCTATAGTTGAAAAACTTTTATTTCCAGAGATGACAACAGAACTGTGTGAGCAAGATTATGGAATGCTGCACTCTGCTATGATTGCTCGATATGAAATGAGGAAAAGCGAGGTTGAGGCTATACTTAAAACTTTATTCTGGGCAGAACTGACCCGCGTTTTGGAACCAAAAATAAATCGGCCTTCAACTTTCCTGAACTTTCCTACAGACGACTCAAGGACAGCAATTCTAAACCTGTGCTACCAAGATTTAGCAGACGAACATGCACAATACCAGGAATTTTTCGAGACTGCTTGTTTGAAAAGCACTGTCAGATGTTTAGAAGGAGTTCTTATACCGCGACCCAGAGAAGCTAAAAGCTTTTGCTCGCTTCGCAAAAGAAAATCTGGTTGGATGGAATTGAATGTAATAAAAAATCCTGGATTAAATATTTTCATTAATTTGTTTCAATTTTGTTAGGACATGATTGACACGATTGTTGTGGAACTAATGAGAATGCAGCATGGGCTGGAAAAGGAAGTCAAATATACACCTGAATTTCCAGTAGTCAAGTACATTCTGCCGTGGTTTGTGTCTAGCCACTTTTATGTATACCGCGCCAACGAGGAATGGCGAAATTTGCACACCATCCATGAAAGATATATGCGCTTCGTGTATGATCTCATCACCAGCTACAGCCCGTCAAAATGCGTTTTCACACTCACAAGTCTGCAAACGTTCCCGAGCATCCTTTCTCTGATCTCTCAAAACTCCAATGTGACATTTGTTGAAATCCTTAAGTGGAAACTGAAATGCATCGAGTCCGAGTATAAAAGACTGTTTTATAAAGAAGAAAAACTTCCCATTTTAGAATCCCATTTTCTTGAGCAGCTGAAAATTTTTATTGTGTTCGATTCATGTCTAGATTTCAAAGGGAAAGACAAAATGTGGGAAAATAACTTTGCCCTAAGCTCAAGATCCTCCTATAGATATTTGTCTAAGGTGGCATATGCATTAAAATTCTCCGCTGACTGGTTGGAATGTATGGAATATGAGGACACTGTGAAAGTCAACCAACTACGCCAAGAAAGCCTGTGGTTTTTTGTTAATTTAATTTATAGCCTGTCAAACACTAAAAAAAAGCAAATTAGTGCAATGATTGCTGTTTGCATTGACCATTTGAAATTCAAAATGAAGGAAACTGATATGGAAAGTTGCATTTCTACGAATGTACCAGAATTGCTGGTGGAAATTCAGTCTTTGAAATTCAAACAGATTGCTGGACTTGTGACCTATCTTATCATTAGCAATGTAAATGAGCACAAGAAGTCTAAAAAACGGTCAGAATTTTCTTGTCTTGAGCCTCTGGACGACTTGGAGAGAGCCCTGTTTGGCATTCTCAGAAATGATCACTGGGAGACAAAGCAGGTTCTCTCCCAGTTGTGGTTCAATGATGACTCTGACAGGCAAGACTTGTCTCTGGTGACCTTTGAGTTTGCTAAGTCAACTGCTCCGATACTGTATGCTCATGCTCTAGCAAATGTGAACCCAAAATCTTGCTTAAAGATGACTAAACCGGGAGAAATTACTTTCTGTCCAATCAAACACTGCAGGTGGTGCGGAAAAGTTGACGTTCAAGAGTTTAGAATTTGCGAGGAGTGTCTTTGTAATGAAGAGTATCCTGATGTCAACTTATTCTGCTCGGACATTTGCGAAGACAGTGCGATGAAAAAAAGGCACAGAGATGAGCATGAACGATTTCTTTTTTCAAAGTGTGATATTTAGGAAAGCACAATTGCATTAGACTTTTGGAAAGCCATTTGACTGTATTCAGTTAACATTTTTGTAGCTTTTTTGTTATTTTGTTTTGTTTATACCATATTTCATAATTTTAAAAATATATTGACTGTCTTCTTTTCTAAAAAAATTGCCATTATTTTATTTACTGTTCACCATATTTTTACAACTATTTGTTATGGTACGATTATTATTTTTGATAAATATTTAATTTGCAACAGATTCAAATCAGTTTTAAAGCTTTGTTATAAGCTAAGTGCTGCAATATTATATAAACACCATTTTCTGTTGCAGTTTTACTTTTCCTTATATTGCCTAATCCAGTTACGGATATGCTTCTTGTAAAGATTTCTGGCGTTCTTTACAGAGTCAGGGTCAGCAACGTTGGAAGCTCGCAGGTCAAGGTGGTGAGCTCCTTCTGGGATGATGATGGACAGAACAGTTGGGGCCAGGCTCTCCACAACTCCGCCACTTGTCCATGGGTCACGCAATCCATTGCTATAATATTAAATGATTTTCATCATTGTTTAAAATCTCAGTTGTTTCTTAAAAATCTGAAACTACCTAAAAATGATATTGGAAGAGAGCTTGGCCATTTCTCGTCCTCCGTATCTCTTGGCCACTAAATCGGGCTGTGGTTTGACCCAAGCAAACTTCTTGGTACAGTCAGCGGAGTACTTGTTCAGATCCCAGGGTTTGGCTTCAAACATGTCGTTGACCCCATCAGAGCACACAGGCATTACCATTTCAGTGCAAGCCTAAGAAAAAAACAATTAAAAATAATTTCATTTAAAATATATGTAATTTTGACAAAGGGCCTACCTGGAAATCCCAGCCCTGGTCGCCAAGGGCTCCGTCCGCTGACTCCACATCAAGGCACTTTGCTTTTCCTGTGTAGTTGAAGTAGACGCTAACACCTTTGAAAATTTGTCCCAGCAATTCTTTGGCGCCAAGTTTTGGGTCTCGTAGGTATTGGCAAACTTCCTAAAATTAAATACCATTAACATTTAATTTTATATTAGTCGCGGCAAAATATAATTTACTGACCAATTCAATGAAATTAAAATAAAATCAATTTACCAAGATTGGATTAGCTGGGAGAGGCATCAGGAAGCTAGTTGGGTAGGGGTAGTCAGTCATGGCCAAATTGGTGTAGACATCTACGAGCCAGTCCTTGAGGTCGGTAATATCGGACGCTTTGGTGAGGGGCTTGCAAGTGCTCCAGGCCTTTGAAAGCCAGGCCAGGCCATCCGCTACATGATGCATTAATTAAAATGTTTGAGGCAAATTTTTTATATTAAATACCAGATTTGGCAAGCTGATCAATTGCTCCCCAAGAGTTTCGAACACTGTCAGCGCACTCGTCGGACGCAGAACGGAAATCGGAGGAGACAATCCTGTAGAAGGCTGAGCACTTGTTCATTCCTTCGAACTCCAGAATTGGCGCTGATGCGGCAATGGCCCTACGAAAAAATATTGATATCAGTTAAATTTCAATACAACATGGAAAATTGTACCCTTGAACAATATGGGGATATTTCATTCTAAACCAGGCAGTCAGCATTCCACCGTACGACCCTCCGAACGAGATGACAGGGATGTCTTTCGCGCCTCTCAAGTTGGTTATCAGATCGACGTAATCTTCAAGCGCCTGGTGAGCCGTCAGATATCCCAAGTTTTCCTCACTCTGTGAAATATTAAAATTAAAATTCTCAATAAAATACTGCAATTAGTTTTTACCGAAAAAGATTTGTTTCCAAAAGGAAGAGACTCTCCATAATATCGGTGCTCAGCAAAAACAACACTGGCCTTCAATTGCTCAGCCAACTCCCACATAAAGCCCTGGTTATATACAATAGAATTTTAATTGAATGAATTAACAAACTTTTTATTCACTGTATTTTCCGCAAACATCTTAATGTCACCCTCGTTTCCAGTGTAGAATAAAATAGGTCCTGATTCTTGATTCCAATGAGTGTTGTTCACCAGGTATCGCATTTTAAAAGTAGCGTTTAAAGCAAAGCTAAAATGGTCCACCTAAATGTTTAAATTACACAGTAGTAAGCACATAACAATTTTCAAAATTTATTTACTCACAGGAACGGTAAAGTACTTTGTCTCATATTGATAGCCGTGTCCTTCTCGAAAGGTAAAAAACAGGAAAATCATCCACACAATAAACATGTTGGAGCTAATAATGTGCTAGAGTTATTTAAAATTTTGATGTAGAAAAAATTAAAATTTTACAGTTACATGAGAGCAAGAAAATTACCTAGGTTTATGCAGAGTTTATAATGAAATATAATTCATCAGAGCCATTCAAATTGTTACTGTTGCCTAAGGAGATGATTAATCTTGTGCTCATCTACAGTCCCTATGCCTTTTGACCCTTGTTTAGTTGCCGGCACCAGCGAGTCTAAGGGTCAAAAGTTGCCTGCGATTGGGTGGAGCAAGATTTCCTAATTAACCGCAGAGGACTGCTATCCAACCATCTGACGAGTGCTAATTTAAAACCGGTTTTACTAACAAGAGAACAAGCAACACTATTCGGTTTTCTTAATAATTGACAGGTCTGCAAATTTTTAGCAGTCATTCAAAATATTTTATTTTAAAGGATTCGATTGCATAGTCAAAACTGTTGATTCAAAGTTGCATTTCAACATTCCATTAGTAAATTATATAAGAAATTATGTCTTTCTTTAGTGCTGATACATGATTATCTGGTCATGGTTATTGCAAAAAAGCTCGAATTATGGATAAAATATATACACGTTTACATAACAGTCAATCAATCATTCCTGATAAACTAATAAAAGACAGGAAAAAATTACGTGAACCAACCAAGATGTAAAATTTTGTAAAAAAAGCTAATGTATGAGGTTAGCTTTGTAAAAAAGGCACATCATTTCAAAAGATCAGTTGAGATTGACGCCACCAACGGCGCCTGCCAAATCCTCCTCTTCTTCGCTGAACGGGCTCTGACCAGCGTTCCGAGAGGTTGGCGTTGTTCGAGGCATGCTTAAGGAAATAAAGTTAAATTTTCAGCAAAACATACGAGGAATAATAATGTTGAAGATATATCAGTGAATGATAAAAAAATTACCCATATCTGCTGAATCCAATTCCACTGGCAGACGGTGGAGTTTCAAATGGATTCATGTGTTCTGGGTAGTTTCCATAAGAACTGTTGTTAGACGGACTGGCTGGGCTGTACGGAGGAGGTGGGTCTCGCATGGGTCCAGAAGCGTTTGGCGAAGAAGCGGTCGTTGGCAAGGCAGGGTAGATGTTTGAAGCAGAAGTGGACGGACCTCTTTGGCTTTTGTACGAGTTGATTCTGTGCCTGGCACGGATCACAGCGTGTTGAGCTTCGGGAGCACCTGCACAAAAATGAATTAAGCCAAGGACCAATTTGATTTATAGAAAATATTTTACCGGAATATTTTAGGTCGTGAATGTTCTTGTCTTGTACGTCGGGCATTTGGTTTACTACATCTTGGTGCGATTCAAAAATAATGCTGCATTTGGCTGCCATTTCCAAGTAAGCTTGAGAAAGCTTTGTTAAACTTTCCTTAACTCTGATTAATTTTACGGCTTCGTTCTCCTGGACTTTGTCTACAACTGAAACAAAAAATAATAGAAATTTATTGCCAAGTTTATTTTTGTAATTTTTTGTGAAAAGCTTAATTTTTAATTTTATTGCCACTTCTCTTGAGAATACATCATGATTAACATAATTTTATTTGTTTGCTCAAATTTATAATTACAAAAATATAAAACCATTTAAATTTAATTCCTAAGTTTGCTTATTTTTGTTTTAATTTAAATCAAACTTAGATCATCACTAAAAATTAAAACATGATACCAACCTTCCATTTGTGCCAATTCTTTAGATCGTTGTGCCTGAGCCAGTTTGACCTCGAGTTGCTGTGCATCTTCAGCACTACTCTTCTTGTTAGCCTTACGAATTTCCTTCCGAAGATTAGTTTCGGACGCTTCGTGGGCGGCCAACTGGCTCCTGGCATGATCCACTGAGCGCTCGCCCTCGTAGATCATCTGGAAGTTGTTGCGAAACTCTCGAAGGTGTTCGTTGAACTCCTTCTGGACGTCCTCCCAGATCGTGGAAAGTTCGAGCAACTGAATCAGAGTCTCTTGAATGGCTCTGTTTTCAGCCTTCAGTGACCACTTGAGCAGGTCCTGAGAGGCCATCGTCTGCGCCTGGGCAAAGTTCTTGGCCGCCAGACGCATGTCCCTCAGGCCACACAGGACCAGGCCCAGCTCACCATGGCCTGTGCCAATGGATTTGAGACGGATGCTGCTCCTGAATTAAATTGGAGAACAATATTAAAAATTTCCCCTGAGCAGAGAAAAATAACGATGTTGAAAGAGAAAATGAAGGTCACAAATTCCTCAAAGAGAAACTTCTGATTTAATTATTGAAATTGCATACCTTCTTATGACTTTGCTGGCTTTATCCATTGGTGACAAGTTTTGGCGTTGGAAAGGTGTCGATAAATTCAATCACAGAGAGCGAGCAGCCATCACAGAGATTAAAAGATAACTCTCATAAAACTCGTGTTTACATTTGCAGCGCAGCTGGGAAATGACATCCCTGCGTGTGGGCGGGCTCTGTTGTGTCTTTTTTTTATCCTGCAATTATTCAGACGTGCTTCGTTAACGAATCGTTTCGAAGAGAAAAATAAATATTACCGTTGCCGAGAATCAATAACACACAGGATTCGTGCAATTAGCTTCTATTCCAAGCAAAAGACACAACTTTTTCTAAGCAGATTGCACCCACAATTCAATAGAAAAACCAACAGAAATTGTTTTCGACTTTTTTTGTACTATTGCAGTTGTGCCAACATGACGAAGAATAACATTTTAAATGTTTAACATTTCAAATAAGATTGTACGAATTTAAATAAAGAAAATAGGAACGAAAATGTAAAAAATTTAAATTTGAAAAATTATTTGAAGTTTTTAAACTGTTGAACTGAAAATCTTTTATCGCGAATTTTAGGAAAACATGATGGACTTTTCGCTACAGGAATCCCCCACCACCGGCATGGTTTGGTTGATTGTGCGAAAAGCATGGTGCAAGCCGATATAAGAAGCGCGATTTTGCGTGGTGTGCCGGTAAATAAACTCGTGGTTGTCCTAGAGACGGTCGAACACCATGTCCCAGCAACTTGCAGACGTTCAGTCAGCAGACGGAGGCATCGTCGCCGACCAGTTTGCAGACATGGACGCGTGTTTTGATGCCTTCGACCAGGACGGGTGAGTTGCGGTAAATTTGCATTCATTTGTGGTGTCTAGACCGGACAATGGGTGCTCTTTGTTCGCAGAGACGGCAAGATCGACTTTGCTGATTTCGGCAGGATTTGCTCGGCCCTCTTCCGCAACGACAAGGGCATCGTCTACACATGCTCCGAGGAAAATCAGAAGGAAATGTTTGGCATTTTCGACCAGAACAAGGTTTGCAATTTTTCTGTTTACATTTTTGTTTGAGAGAAAGAAAGAGTCTTGAATGAAACTTGAGAAGTTTTTAAGTGAATTATATGAAATCAAGCTCCATTGAACTCGATCACAGTAAATTGAGTTATAAATTCTAGCGACAAAATTTATTTTATTAATTATGTACTATAAAAATATTTCTAAGCTGAAAGTTAGCGCTTTTAAATATTTTTTAGTCTCAAAATCATAAAATCTTAGTTTTATTAAATTAAAAGATTACAAAGTATGCACTTGAAATATTAATTGAAAGATATCAGATATATCTGCACCGATTGAGCAAAATTAATTTTTTTTTATCTGACCATCACTTATTTTGCACTTATCTTTAATGATGCAAAAGTCAAACAATTAATAATTATCTTCTTTTCTCTCAACGACAAAAGCCAAACCGCATCCTATATTTTTGGATAAGAATTGTTATCCTCTTGCAATGACAAATTAAAATTCGGCTCTCAAAGTTTTAAAATCAAAACGAGTCTCTTTGTCCGCAGAAGGTCACACACCGGTGGGTACAAAAGGTTTTTGTATCAGGGTGTGACCAAAACCTATCTCTGCATCAAACAATAAATAATCCCGCAACAAAGGCCTCTGTGAAGTTTATGCACAGATAAAGCAGGGCGTGGGATTGTAATTTGTGTGCAATTTTTGTGATCAGGGCGCGTCCCTTCAAATGTAATTTGCGCGGCACCCCTTTTTTTAAACCTCATTGATGCTCAAAATAAGTTTAAAATTAAATTCGATAAAAAAAGCTTGATAAAAAAATAATGAAAAAATTTTCCTCCAAAGTTTTTCCATATTCAAAAAAGGTCTAATGCTTAATACTTTTTGGTCTTTGGTGAATTTTACAAAAGACCTTGTAATTTTTTTATCTTAGACTTTTTGTGCTCTGATAAGTCTGATATTTGGAGTTAAAAAGTTTATTGCATCATTTACTGAAGGAAGACTATCCAAAAGTCCAAAATTATAAAATGCGTCATTTGCCACTTTGATTCATAAAGTTATTTTTAATCCTGAATTGTTAAATATTACATCCTTGCAAAATAAAATTTAGTGTCTAAGAAAAAAAAAATAATAAATTGCTTCGATTCTCGTTTAAAAAAGAACTCTGCTGACGTGATTGACCTTCTATAAAAGTAATTGGTTAAAACTATCCCCCAAGTTAACCACGGAAGCAGTTTTTATTGAAAATTTCCATGATGGGGTGAGTCTCGGCGGCGCTCTTCTCATGCCAAAAGTCGTTTGTTTAGCGCCAAAAATAGCCTCTCTCGATGGGCAATCAAACAAGTTCGTTTCAGGGCCCTTCTTGTGTGCAAAATGACGTGAGGCGAAATAATCGAGAAAAGTTAGTTTGATCGATTTGTTTGATTTGTGTTCTGATGGCGTGCGTGCATCGCGGGTGTGAAAATGCAGACGGCACGAGAGAGAATGAAAACCGACTGCGCCACTCGGCGAAAAACTTTTTAATTGGTGCCAGCCATGCTGCTCGAAACCCGAGTCGATATTGCAGCAGTCGTTTGAAATGCTATCACCTGCGAATTATCTTTTTCGCTGGAAGCAAACCTTGAACTCGTTAGAATAAAGTAATGAAAGGCACACAATTGTTCCCGAGTTTAAATGTCAAAAGTCAAACTCATTATTACAATTACATATTTTTGTATCAAATTTATATCATTTTTTCAGGACGGATATATTGATAGGAACGAATTCAAGTTTTGTTGGAACAAGTGGATCAAAAAAGTAAGTATATTATAAATTTTCAAAATTAAATCTTAATTTTTTCAACACAGATTGTGCGCCCTGTGAGCGTACTTTTGGTCATCGACGTCCAGAACGACTTCATCTCGGGCTCTCTGAGTCTCAGCAACTGTACCGCAAAGCAAAACGGAGAAGAAGTATTAAATTTAATCATCTTCTGTCAAGTTCTAAATTTATTCCATAATACAGGTCATCAAGCCTATTAATCAACTGCTAGACAATGTCCAATTTGACGGCATTTGTTACTCGCTGGACTGGCACCCAGCTGATCATGTGTCCTTCATCGACAACATCACCAAGAGGAAGATCCACTCAACCAGTCCAGTAAGTAAACAAGCCTTAAATTTGAGAAAAACTATTATAATTTGAAAATCAGTTGCGAGCGGACCAGGCCCAGGTGTATGACACAGTCATTTTTGACGGCAAACCGCCCACGACCCAAAGACTTTGGCCCCGCCACTGTGTCCAGAACAGCTGGGGTGCCGAGCTGCACAAAGACCTGAAGGTGAATGTTTTAAAAAATCAAATAACCACAGAAGTTATTTATTGAAATTTCTACTTATAGATCGGAAAAGACGCCACTTTGGTGTACAAAGGCATAAATTCAGATGTTGACTCTTACTCCGCCTTCTTCGACAACAAGAAGATGAGCCGCACCTGCCTGCAGGAAAAACTGGTTGAGCTCGGTGCCACTGATGTTTACGTCTGCGGACTTGCCTATGATGTCTGTGTTGGTGAGGATTTATAAAATTTACTAAAATCAATTTAAAAATTTTAACTATTTTAGGATCTACTGCTGCTGATGCTTTGGCCATTGGCTACAGAACCATCATGATCAACGACTGCGCAAGGGGCGTGAACTTCGACGATATTGAGAGCACCAAGAAGAAGTTCAAGGATACTCATGGAATCATCGTCGAGTCAAGCCAGGTGAAGGCCATGGTTGAGGGCAGAGACCGGAGGCCCGAGTTGGGCTACAAGTTGGCCGTTGAGCTGAAGAAGGATCAGCAAAAGTGATGCACTATCTAGTTTTAGAGGAAGCCAAGGTACGTAGCAGGGTTAGTTAGGTGTTAGGCCGATTCCTTGGAAGTCCCATAACAAAATTGTGGCCTATGCAGCAAATAATCTGCCTTTAAGCGAGAACCAATCGAGCTTCAAAAAATGTTGATGCCTGTACTTTTGTCTCCTTTGCTGACTTTGTTAATAATTTGACTACAAAAATCATGATTCTCTCAGTACTTAAAAGGCACACTCTAGTTAAATTGCACTGATAATTTAAATTTTAAGGTTGATTTTTGTGGAGAGATGCACACAAGCCTTCTGTGTTAATGCTAGTAGAAATAAACTTGAATATTTTTATTCAACAAGTATCATATTAGCCAAGAGAACAGATTATTATTCTTTTCCAATAATATATAATAATTATAGGCGATTGCACAACATTTATTTGTTAGTCCATCTAGACGTGTGACTAGACAAAGTTGTTATAAATGTTTCACAGAACAATCGATTGGCCCTTCTTTGAACGAGAGGCTTTTGGTTTGATTCACAACATCGACGTAAAACAAAGTACAAAACTCTGAAGAAAAATATATATAATATAATTCACCCCGTGCACATCACAGATCAGATATTTTCAAATTTCAAACATTCAAAACTTTGAGCTGAGGCACTTTGGACAGTTTCTTTTCTCTCTCTCTTGTTGAAATAGCATTTCGGATATAATAATACTTTTCTTGTGGTGTTTGCAGTTTGTCGTGAGATCATTATTCCAGTTCGTTGAAATAATTATCAAAATTTTAATTTTCAAATCACTCAATCTTCCAGTCGTCGTCGTCCTCAGGCGCCGACAGCACCACTTGCAGGCCGCGCGCGTTTTCCGTTGGCGCCTCGACCACTTCAAACGCCTCCCGCAGGGCCGCCCTGCAGGGCAGCGACAGGGGATTCTCGCTCAGGTTGACCACCCGCAAACTGGGAGCGTTTTTCAGCACGTTCACATCGACGTCTGCCAATAATTTAATTAATAAATAAATCTAAAACGATTTTTTTTAAATAACTTACGGTCTATCCTGTTGTAGGAAAGGTCAAGCACTTCGAGGGCGGGCATTTTGATGGCTGAGGGTGGAAGGGCAGGGAGGTTGTTGTGGGCCATGTTAAGGATCCTGAGCTGGCTCAGGTCAGACATCTGCTCTGGAAGGGCACTTATTTTGTTGTTGGCCAAATTGAGATCTATGGACACAAAATTAAGGAATTTAGTGATTTAATCAGATTTTAATATTTGTTCCATTTTTGAAATAGAAATTCTAATGGAATTTAATGTGTCATTTTCCATTATTTTCTTTTTAATTTATTAAGATTTTGATATTTTTTTTTTTATTATTATTACGTGTGATCTCGGTGAATTTTTTGGGGAGGCTGGGTCCAATCTTAGTGATGGCGTTTGTCGAAAGGTCACACGTCTGGAGGACGGTGTTGCGCATCAGATGGTACACTGCGTCCGGGATTTGCATGAGCTGACAATCGGACAGATCTGCGGAATCGGAACAAAATTTTATTCAAGCTCCATTCTCGTTTAATGACTCATTCGGATTGTAAACAAGGAAGCGAACGTTGGGATGCGAATAAATGCACTGGCCGTTCTTTCGCAGCTGTTTTTCTGCTGGTTCAAGGTGAGAAAGCAGCGTGCGCGCTTATTTCTCTTTTTCATTGCTCCATATAAGGGCGCAAACTCCATAAATGTCCAAAAGGAAGAGAACGTTTAAACTGTAAGGTCAATGCTGTCTCATTCCTTGGATAAATTATTCTTTTAAAATTTTTTTGCAAGCGTTTGAAATTTATTCTTCAAAATTTTAAAATAATACAAAGTGAAATTAAATTTAAAAAGTTCATAAAAGTTGCATAAATTTTTGGCCAAGGCTGTTTCTATGTGTAAGCGGAAATCAATGCAAGTCTGGGAATAATAAACTGCGCCGAGCGAAACATTCTACGCGCCGCTTTATATTTTGTGAAAGTGCGATATTATTGCTCCGGAGTAAAAAGTAAACAATGATTTTAAGCTATGTTGCTGCTAACAGTGCCAACGAGATCACATCTTTGCCTTCTTTTTCTAAAGCGCCAAATGTAACAATTAAATTCTGTCGAGTTAAAATTAAACTTCGGGTTTAAAAAAAACTGAAGTACGCGTGAAGTTGTAACCTTGTCTCGAGCGTGTGTTACAATTTAAAGCTCTCGCGTGTGTTATGAAAAGAGTCGTGAGAGCGGCAATTAAGTTATGAAAAGGCGAAAGTGAGTTAAATTTTACAGTTGCCTGCATTCGGCGGCGCGCGAGAGATTTTCATTCACTGCGTGCGCTTTGAGCAACTCGCCGTAATGTACAATTCGCGCCGCGTGAGATGCGGTTTGACGCAACACCAAAAGCTTCCTTGTTAAGTTTCCTCACCTTCATTTACAAGCCCTAATTAATTTTGCAATTGACTTAATATAAAATTCCAAACTCCAACGATCAATTAATTAAAGTTACAAAAACTATAATATATATAAAAAAATATAATTTTTTTTTGTTATCAAAATAATTTTTATTTTCAAATTCAAACTTGGGGTTACTGACCAAGGTTGCAGGTTTCCTGGGCGTCGTTGCACCTGCCGACGACCCTGATGACCGCTCGTCCTGCCATCCGGGTGCAGTGCATCACTACGGGCACGTTGGGTTCATTGGTGGTTGAGTTGGTCATGTCATCACCGAACTGAGGCATTTTGCCCGCCCGATTTTCCGAACGATTCAAAGAAAGAAATTCCAAAAAGTAGAGAAGTAATCCGTGGACGACTCTCCTCTGTCTTGCCGAAGACCAGGAGAGGTGTTGGGACACTGACTGCACGGCACGCGTCGCGCTTTGCTTTATATGCGGCGCGAAGAGGGGGACTTTTGCGTTTCGCCAGTAACGCATCTTCCCGTTGATGTATCGAAGGGGTTTTTGCCCCCGAATGCAACTGGGGTGAGAAAGTTTGACCTCGTTTTTCAAACTCGGTGTCTTCATTGTTCATTCACATAAGCAATATTTTTCATGTTTAATTATCTAGGTTTGATGAATTTAGTCCAATTCTCTATTTATCCACATTCTACTTCTTTTAATTATTATTTAAATTAAAATTATCCTTATTCGATCAAAAAAACTACCTTTTTTGTTTCAAGTAAAACTGATCCTTTTTTAATTTCTTATTTATTCCTTCTCGCATTCTTCGTCATTTTAAATTAAAACTGCTTATTTCAAGCTCAATTTACTACGACTTTTTGTGTTATTTTTGCGTCCTTTGGTGCAAAATATTGCGCGGCGGCGCTTTCCTTGAAAAATTCCCCAGCACGCGGCACCCCTCGTTCTCCGGACTCCGCAGTTTGCTTTGCTTTGCTCCCTTGAATATGGTGTCTACGACCCTATTTCGCTAGAAATTTGCGTCTCAATTTGAAAATCACGTGGAGCACAGGGATTATTTATAAAACACGCGAACAGGCGGCGGAGGTTTGTGCGAGTTTCCGCGCAGTCTGTCTCTCTCAAAATGTTTGATGCACGCCGGCTAAGAATGAGACATGCGGAAATTTCGTTTTTTTTTTCGTCTCTCGATTGTTTTGAGATTTTCAGCGTGCAATTAATTATGGATTGTGATTTGTACATAGAAAGGTATTTTTTTTTTCAATATTATTATTTAATGAACCATATTTAAGCTAGCTAAAAATTTTGAAAGTAGCTGGAAAGTATTCTCTCTATTATTTGAAAAAAATGGAATGAAAAGAAAAGAATTTAAATAATTTTTTATAGAAAAAATTAATGTTAGCAGACTTTTTAACAATTTTTCTTTTTAGAGCTTTGTAGTTCAGTTCTTTTTGATTCACATAGTTTTTATGGAGTAAATTTTATTAGGAGGAACAATTTAAATTAATTATTAGATGATTTAAATGCTTGAATTTGTTGAATTTTCAAGGTAAAGAAATTTTATTATCGGAATTATGTTTCTTAGGTGATTTGTTTGGCACGTAAATAATGCATTTCTGCTATTTAATGCCAAAAATATTTGTTAAATTTTATTTTATTCTCTCTTCATTTATTTTTCTTTGCTTTTCATAAACAATCTCATTTGAAGTTTGTGTTCATAAGAATTTTAAATAAGGAACGTGGCAAATACAAAATTCCATTTGTGATATTCTGTGTCCTTATTGTTAGTTATAAATTTTCCACACCCTTGGTCGGAATATCAAAGCGAGTTGGAGGTCAAAAGAGTGGAAGATAAATCATCTCGCTTGAGCTCTATTTCTGCGCCCCAGAATCGGGTGCATCTGGACGCGAGTTGCACAAATCGCAGAGGAGAGTCGTCCAAAGCTGCTTCTTCTCTTGCTAAAATTAGCTGCCTTACACGGCGGAAAACCCCCCGATCTATTACTAGGCCAAACACAATCCGAGAGCGGCCAACAAACTTCAAATAATTAGCTACTCACACTGAACGAGACCAGAAGTTGCGAGAGAACCACTTTTCCGTTTCTCGGGCCAACCACCGAAAGGAATGGGGTGTCCTTCGTGAACACATGCGATTTTTGCCCGGGTTAAAAATAGCAGTCTTGAAGAAAAAGAGGCGCACTCGGAGTTTCAAAATAGACTTGAGGCGCGCGGTCTTTGATTTGTGTTTCAAACTGACGCGTCATTTATGTTTTGCCGCAATGGGGATTTCCACCCAAGTTTTCGTCTGGAAATGTTCCCGTGAATTTCAGTTTGCCAGATGGCCCAAAATTGATACAAAAAATGCGAAGAAAAAATTCAGGCATAGATTTATATATACAAAAGCCGGATTTTATGCATTGTCGTTTTGCAGAGAAAATACAATTTTCTTCCAAGGTTTATTACTTTTGTGCAAAAAATCCATATTTTTTATTAGCTTAATAGCTCATGAAATTCAACAATAGCACCATCTTTTCTCCCATCCATAGTATATATTCAGTAATTGAGTGTTTAAAATTTAAAATATCTTTCTTTTTTACATAAGAATGAGGTAACTGATAATAAATTAAAATTTAGCAATTGTCATAATTAAGCTGTCAATGAAAAAAAAAATCAGTTGGAATTTTTTCACCTGCAAGATTACATATTAAATTTTTCATATTTTTAAGTTTATAATTAATAATTTTTTTTATTTTATCGTAGATAAAAAAATACAAAATGCTATGTCTTAATTAAAAAAAGCAGCATTTTTTGGTAATCTTTCGTCTCTGGCTTCTGACGCCAATGCGCACCAAATCGTCGGGCTGAAGTTCCATCTTCCTGAAGCTCAGGTTCGCCAATTGGTCAGAGGCGTTGCTTCGTTTCCAGGCGTCCAGGGCCATAAGAAAGGCCTTTTCGACATTGGCACTCGTCTTTGAGGACGTCTCCGTGTGAAACTGAACTGCATTCTGCTGACACCATAGTTCAGCCCAGTCTTCAGGAACGTCCCTCGTGTGAACATCAGCCAGATCAAGCTATATATTTGTAAGAAAAGTTTTTTTTATAAATATGCAAAAAGAATTAATTTATCAAGTTTGATGTCTTTTGATATTTATTTTGTTTATTTTCCACTAAATTTAATATATTAAAATCTAAACTTTTCCCCAGTTCATTGTGTTTTGTGGGTTTTTATAAACAAATCTTTTAAATTTTCCAGCTATTAATTAAAAATTTATAGATGGATTTAAATGCTAAACTTTTTAATTTGTTATCATAAATAGGAAATATATTTAATTCTGCAATTCAGAAAATAAATTATTTTCTGCACACCTTTGTTCCAACGACAATGAAGGGAAAATTATCCTTTGGCCTGGCGTGAAAGAGGAACTCTTTTCTCCAATATGACAAGTTCTGGAATGAGTGTCTGTCGATCAAACTGTACGTCAGCATGCACAAATCGGCGCCTCTATAAAACGGTGTTCGCAAACTGCGGAACTTCTCCTGGCCAGCTGTGTCCCAAATCTGCCAATATCAACTTTGAAAATTATACGTTTGGTAATTTTATATGTACATCTACTTGTAAAGTATAAGAGTTATGGTCATCGTCCTCGATTTCCTTGGTCAAAAACTCGACGCCGATTGTGTGGAAGGCGTACAAATCGAACTGATCGTAGACCAGGCGACGCATTAGGCAAGTCTTGCCGACCCCCATGTCGCCCAAAATCACCACCTTCAAGAGTCGGCCGTCGAACTGCTTTTTGTCTCCACTCGTCACAGACATTAAAATTGGAATTTTTCAAAATAATATAAATGGGGCAGAGATTCGAGCACAATGAAATTGCTCACCGGAAAGTGAGAGCCCGACTGGCGCGGCTCGGCGTCATTGGACTATGAACAACACACGCAACGAAATAAAAAGTATGGGAGGAAATCACTCAATATCAAACAGGTGCCTGATTTCTGTGGAAGTAGAGTCACGCAGCAAAAACACACACGTTTAGCAAAGCAAAAAATATCTTATCAGGCTGAAATCCCCCTGCAGAAATAAGGAACAGACAGCAATGTTTTTTACAAGTTTGTCAATTTCCTTTTTTTTCTACCTCTATTTTCAGGCAAAATTTTTAAATTGATTTTTTTATTGTAGATTTAATTTTAATCAAAAAGTTCAAAATATTTTTTTCTTTAATGGTTTTTTGTGAGTTTTTTATTGGAATAAAAACCAAATTTTTCTAATTTTTGTCTGAATCTGTAATTAATCCTTAACTGTTGAAAGTATCTCTATGAAGGCCATAAGAAAGCTTGATAAGTAATTTAATAAGTATGATCCGTGAAATCGATGAGCGCACGTGGAAATTTAAGCACGAGAAGAAAATTTTTTCCATCGCGCCAATAATTTTGCCTCCCGCGTCTGCGCACTCGTCGTCCATTCCGCTCTAAGTATTTTTTTTTAATCACTTTTTTTATCAATTTTCAACATGGCCGACAAAACAATGCTGGATCGAAGCTGAGATTTTGCTTGTCCGCCTGATTTCGCCTTCAAAATCTAAATGCCGCACGTCAAGGACGCCGACACGTATTCTTGAATCGTTTTGATAAGTTCTGAAACATCAAGCAAAGTCCGAAACCAGGTGAGAAACACCCGCCGAGGTTGATTTTAGTTGGCAGTGCCCGGAAAAAAAAAGAAAGTTCACTCGAGTGGCTGCGATAAAATATTCATGACAATGTTTGTTTTATAAATTGTCTGTTGGTACTCGCGCGAGCAATCAGAATGACTCACTCTTTTTTTCTTCAATTCGGATAATTTTTTGCAAGGAGTGAAATCCAAACTGAGACGACAACCAAGTAAAATCTTATTAGAAAATTGATTATAATTTCTACTTTTAATTACTCAGCAATTTTTAATTTTTTTGCATTATGAATTCTTATCTTGAGTGAGAAAGCCACTTGTCTATTCACTTTTGTAAATTGATGAAACATTATTCTAAATTATTTACTTTTTCCAGAATGTATTGCCTGCAGTGGTTAATTCCTGTGCTGCTGATTCCGAAGCCTGTGAATCCGGCGCTGCTGCAGACGCACGTCATGTTCATGGGCCTATACCTAATCAGCTTCTTCCTCGAACGCAAGCCTTGCACCATCTGCAGTGTTGTGTTCCTCATCGCCGTCTCGCTCATCTGCTACTCGGGCTACAACGGTTTTGGTGGAAACTGCCTCTTCTGGAACTCCGAGTGCTCCGCCTCGGCCGAAGAGAACTGAAAGAGACAAACGAATAATGAAACGGAAAAGCAGTGTGCGCGTTGTGATATAAGAAACCGAGACTTTGCTTCAGGTCCCAATACAGAGTGGATCCTCTAATTCCTGTCATTGACAACCATTTACATATTTTGATGTTCGTCGATAGCCCTGCGCCATTTTTAATATAAATCGAAACCCTCTGTGCAGGAATTGGAAGGAAAATTTATTATGTTCCATCATTTGTTGATAAATTACAATAATTAGTAACGTTGAGTAATACTTAATTGGAAGTTTCTTTGAGCAAAATTAACCTTTGGAACTGCTTCTGAATAAGAAAGATAATTTTAGAAGATATCTTAACAACCCTGGCAGAAATAATAATTCAATAATTTGGTAGAAGTTAATACTAAATAGAGAAATCAATATTTTATTAAAAAGACCGGACAGACAATAAATAGAGAAAAATGGAAGATGTCAAAATCGGCGGAATGATCATAAAGTTTTCAATGAAATGCAGTTAATAATAATACACTTTTGTTACAAGATAATACTTTGCTCGTTGGATTGAAAAGAAGAGAAAGCTCCTCGAAAAAATGCGATTGTGTTCATGACAGTTGTTACGGGTGTCGCAGCATAGCAGCTGCTCTCGTTAGAAGAGGGTTGTTCAGGTCCTGCTCCTCCTCATCGGCCAGGGTCACCCTTTCCCAGCTCATGTGTCGGCTTGACTTTCTCAAGGCCTCCATTACAGCCTATTTGTAAAATTATAGTTAAATTTTGTATGTTTTGAATGAGTTCAAGTTTTGACCTGGACATATTGGCCGTCTTGGAAAGTGGCCGCATCAGCTACAGGTTCTTTGATCCAGCCTCGTCTGTCCTCCACACTTTGGAACGCCTCTCTCAAGGCTCCGACCATCTTTTGCAAGCCTTTCATGTACGGTCGCGGCAAACTTTCACTTCCAGTTGGCGTCTGAAACAAATTATTTAAGATTAAAAGCTTGAAAACTTTTAAATATCCATTGTTGAGATGCTAAAAAAAATTGCACACCCAAAAATATTAGAATAATTAACTTAAAATCAATTATTAATTCATGGATAAAATTGTTTCAATTCCAGACACTCCAGCAAATATTAAATTTAAAAAAACCTAGATTTTGAAAAGAATTTCACCAAATATTATGAAACTTTTCAGAGGCCTTAAAATCCTGCCATTAATTTTTATATAATAAAACAATTATTGATGTTAACCTCTAGGTCCTCCACGTCTAGGTAGAGACATTCCTCCTTGGCGTTATTTCTCCTGCCGTGCAGGTCACCACCTTTGACCCAGAGAGCTCCTGACTCGCCAGTTATCACTAGCTCCTGGCTGAAGGTACCAGCCTGGTTAGAGCTCATCAATTGTACAGTGGCCTAAGTAAACAAGGTCATTGATTATAATTTACAACATAATTTCAGTTCTAACCAAAAGAGGAGGACGGTCGCCAGTCAACAGATTGTAATCACTTATATGACCTCCCAACTCCAGCTGGAAAGTTGCGAAGTCCGGAGCTGTCACTTTTCTTATTCCCTGAACCTTGGCAGTTTCGCTCTCAAATGTCCGAATAACTCCATGAACCCTGCATTAAATGTTCAATAAATAATCATTTATGTAGTATCTTTGGAAGTCCTGAAACCTGGTTGCTTTTAAGCCAGTCAAAAATGTCAACAAGTCAACAACGTGGCTTCCAACCAAAGTCAGGATGCCTCCCCCCATTCTTTCATCACACGTCCAATCATAGCCTAAAAAATATTTAAAAATTAAACCACCTATGAAGGAAAGACTGATCGAATTATACCTTCCGACTCATCAATCAAGCTGGAAATTCTTATTCGGACATCGCAGAGGTCAATCCTCCGGCCTACATAATTGTCCCTGAGGCACTTCCTCATCAGCGTAAAGGCAGGCAAGAAGCGAAGACTGTGGTTAACTAAATTTTAAGAATGATATAACGCCTATTAAATATTTTCTAGTTGGAAATTAAACCTATAGAGATGAGAGACGGGTAGTATTGTGAAGCCTTGACCATTTTCAAAGCGTCATTTTGGCTGATCCCAGAAGGACGGTCGCATAGAACGTGTTTGCCAATGCCGAGTGCCTTCACAGAAATCTGTGCGTGCAAATGCGGCGAGCAGAGGACGAAAATCAGGTCTACATCTTTGCGCAGAAGGACTTCATCCACTTTGCTAGTGTAAAACGGAATGTTGAGTTCCTTGGCTGTTTGCTGTGCAGCCGCCGGCGTCCGACCCCAGATGGCCTCAATGACAAACCCTTTAGCTCTTAGAAAGGGCACGATGATCCGCACCACGCTGCCGGTGCCAAAAACGCCGATTCCGGGCAGCATTTTGCCTAATTTTAAACAATTTTCACTTCATTTCCGACCCAAATTCGCGAGGTGGGCGAGGTCCCGCCACGAGTTGGAACAACCACCAATCATAATGAGCTATTTAGTCACGTGACTAAAAACAGCCAATCGCGTATCACAAACACAAAGTCATTGGTGGAATCGTGAGCGGAGTTTGAATAAAGAGTTTAATACTGTTAACAAGAGTTTATTATTGATTTAGATTATAATTGCAAACATTCATATTAAAATAATAAAAAATTTGCCAAAATAATGTTATTTGAATTTTTATTAGTAAATATGAGGCAAATTTCAAAAGTATAATAGGTGGTACTAAATTGGAGGTACAACTCCTTTTTATGCACCCCTTGTCATTTGCCAGAATTTAAAAATGGCGCTTGGCAGACGATAAACAAACAGAAACAGGTGGCGTTGGTTGGCCTTTCGACGGATCCAAAGATAAGATAAAATACATTTAATTTCTGTCAGTGGTGCCTAAGTGTTGCCACGGGACTGTGCTGTCTGAGTGCGTCGTTGGAGCTGACAAATTCACATCTTTTTGGCGCTTGAATGAGGTACGTTTGCACATTTAACCGTCTATTGATTATGGTCCAGTTCTTCGCTGCTCAGCCAAAGTTTGCAACTTTGCATGCCGGTCGTCGACCCTTTGACTTTGCCCGGCGACTTTCCTCTCGCAGCTTCATTCCTAGGACAATCGCTGGCGGGTTAAGGCGTGACGCTGTATATAAAAGTCGTGGACCAGAATCTTAGCGAAGAATACGTAACTTCTCAAATGCATTATTGTTAACAGCTAAAAATTATTTCAAAATTTCCATTCTCTGCATTTAAAATAATTTCAGTGAGGATTAATTTTTCAATTCTTAGAAAATGCTATATTAAGTTACATATTTTCAGTTCATCTCAACCGTTTGTAGATTGAACAATTTTAAATTTTGAATTCAGCTTACGATTGCTTTAATATGAAAATGTTGATAGGAGTCAGTAAATTAAACCAAGAATATTTTCTGTCTTCTGTTTTTAGCGTCAGTTGCTAAGGAGAAGAGCTCTGAGTCGCTCAAAATGGGCTCTGTGAGGGAGGAAGAAATCGTCAAGTCTGTCTTTGGTAAGACTTAATTATTTTTTACTGTCTAATTTTTTTAAATCTCAATATGCACCTTGAATATTTGGATCTTAAATTCATCTCTAATTTGGATTAAATAAAGAAAAAAAGTTTTAATTAACATGATTTGCAAAGTTTTTTGCAAGGAAGGAATTAAATTTGAACATTTTAATCAGAAATTTTTTTTAAACTGCGCATTAAGGTAGGATCGAATGTGGTTGCGAAAACACCTGTTCTGCGCCGGTGGGGTTCGTGATTGCCCAAGCACGTGGCTGTGGAAAATCAATTTCCCTCTCCACCCTTGTCGTTTTTAGGAGGGTGAGCTGCACGAAAGACGCTGGCCTTACACGAAAAGTAGCGAATAGTAAAATTGTAAAATCAGTAGAGTCGACGTGCCGGGCCGAGTAGGATTTCTCGTCGCAATCTCTGGTGAAAGAAATTTGAAGAAAGGGTTTCTTTATCTCGCGCAACGCACACGCATCCTTTTTCCGCTCCAGCGTGTCACATTTTAGCCGGCTCGGGATTTCATATTATCCGCTTTTTACTGCAGAAAATTTATCTGCGAGTATCTTGTTTTATTTTTTTAAGTCTGGAAACTCGTCATCAAAATTCTTGCTGAATTAAATTTTCCGCAAAGAATATAATTTTTAAATTGGACAGCAACAATATCCTATTTCTGTGCTAAATGAATTGTGGTCAAATTTTTTAAATGTAAAACAACTTCAATTATTTATATTCTTTTATTTGATATTATGGCAAAAATGTAGAAAAATTTCCCTCGTATTTTCTCCCAGTGAAGTATAAAATCTTATTTTAATTTAAAATTTTTTCAAATTATTTCTACTTTATTGAAATTTTTAAAAATTGCTCAAATTGGCTCGAATATAAATAACTTCATATTTTTCTGTTCAAATGTTCAGATTTTATTTTAGACAATTTCTTTAAATATAAATTATTCATTGAGCAATTTCAAAAGTATCCCTTAGTACTATATATTTTTTTTTAAATATCTTAAATTATTATGTTCTCTTATGTTCTTTTATTTTAAATTAATTTATTGTGCATTTCATTTTTAATTTCTTAAATGTTTTGAACGATATTTTTACTTGAATCTTCAAAGCATGTTTATGTCAAATAAAACGCTTCCCCCCTGAAAATAACAACTTGTCAATTTCGATCAAACGTGACATTTGACCCAAATAAATAATGCTTTTCGCACTGAAATAGTTCACGGTCCGTGCGTTGTTAATAATTGAATACAATTTTGCGCAGCTGACAGCTGAATATACCGTGCGTAATTTCTATTTTCGAGTGGGCTCGTCTGTTTGCTTTGTCCTGCGATCGCGTGCCCCGGACGTCTTTTGTGAGGGTCATTGGTGCCAGGGTCGCGGCGAACGTCCTTGGGCGGGCGCGTGTCAGGCGCAGACGGCACCGCTCTCGCAAATCTGACAAAAAGGCAGACGCGATCGCGGATGAGACATGGGCAGGAAGGTGTCCCCGTCAGGGGGGCTGAGTCCAGCCTTCGTGGCTAAACTCAGCCGGGGTCACGACACCCTTTACCTTCACCAGTCCCTTCCCCACCAGAAAGGGAAGAGGAAGTTCAAAAACAACAACTACCTCAGAAAATTATCGGGTGAGTTTTGATACAAGTTTGAAAATTTATAAAAAATAATTTTTTATTTTTAATAAATAAAACAAGCTTAAAATATATTTTGAGAATAAATTCTTGGTGAAGCGTTTTTTCAGCAAATAAATTGAAAAGCTATGATTTTGAAATAAATGTGCTTTATGTCTTGTTAGGTTTTTTGAAGTGCTTTTTACGGTTTTTTATTCATTGATTTACAGAACAATTTTCAAATTTTGAAATTTTTGATCTGATTAATTCAATTCATTTTATTTTTCTCAAACAAGTTTTTATGGAGAGCAGGTGTATTATATTTATTTTCTGGAAAACTTGAAATACTAAAAAAAAAAATCAGGGAATTTAATTTTAATCCATCGTTTATTTTGCAAATTTAATTTATTTAATCATTAAATGCTTAAGTAAGTTTCAATTTCTTATCAGAGTGATCTCATTTGGCTCTTTCAGAGTCTCTTATTTCCGCTGCAAGAGTTTCATGACTCATATATAGTGTTAATTCGTTGTCCCAATTTGTTTTAAATTTTGAGCTTATTTCCGTTGAACATTGTTCCTCTGCTTTCCCTCCTTTTGTAATATGTTTTGTCTTTGTTGATTGTTTTTTTGCTAAACTAAATACATTTCATACATTGAAGGAAACACATTTTTGGCATCGTTATTAAATTATAAAAAATTCCTGTGCAGTCGTGGTGACCGAGACTGCATGCTAACGAGGTTGACTGATTGTGACAGTGCGAAACACTCACAATCAGGTGTGAGTCAGGGTTTGTCATCTTGCAGGACAGGTGGTGCTAATTGCTCGCGGCCGCAAGCAAACCTGATTACCAAGAAAGTCTTGGTTTGGTTTTGAACGAAAGTTTATTTTGTAAAAAAAAAAATATACAATTTACAATTTTAATAGAAAATTCATTAAGAGTTAAAGAATAAAAAAAGTACTTATAAACTTCCTTAATTTGAAAAAAAGTTTTTTTTGAAGATAAGGAACACGGAAATCATATAAGCGGTTGAGGGGTTTAATCTTTAGTCCTTCTGATAATAACGCTTTTTTAAATTTCTTTTTTATCTTAATTTTGATTATTTCAATTGGGTAAATTTTATACGAAAACTGCGTCTCTTTCTGTGTCTGCCTGGAAACAGCGAGTGCATTTTAGAATATCAATAATATGTTGCAAGAGTGGACTCTTCCTGCACGGGGTTAGTGACCCTTACCGGAATGCATTTGCGCACCCGTCGTGCACCCCCGTTCTTCCCTGCGCGTAGGAGGCCTGAAATGGGTCACGGCGCAATCACGAATGTGGGATCGCAAAGCAAGCACCCCTCGTCAAAAATTTACATCAAGTCGTGCACCTGCTCAAGTAATTTTGTGGCTCCAACCGTCAACAGAAGTTCTTAGTTTTTGTCCATCTATTGTTAATACCAGAAAAAATTACCCAAATAATAATAACTTCTAAAATTTATCATCAACTTTTGGCTGAAGTTGCAATCAACATTTAAATATGAATTTTGTTACAATTAATTAAATTTTTTCCTTATTAAATTGTTGTTTATTTTATTTTATTTTTTTTTCAAAAAAGTGTATTAATGGTAAAGAAATTATTGAAAATTCTGGAAATGCTCATCACTTTCTAAACACTAAAGAGTAATTCATGCAGCCAACTCTATCAAAGCAAACACGAGAGGCGTTCTGTTTATTTTCACTTGGAAGATAACACGGCCGGACTATCGCTTCATTAAAGCGCTTCGTTCTCGCCACGCCGCAATAAAATGGATTTCGCCCGTCTCGTTAGTCACCGCAATGTGCTTTTTGTCCCCGCACCGTTTTCGTATAGGCGCGACCTCGCCATTGCTCGATCAAAGGAAAGCCCTATTAAGTGATGAAATTCACATTATTTATGCACTTCTCGCAACATTGACACAGTAAAACGACCTGGTTGGAACCCGCAGCAAGTCGAAAGTTGATAAGAAGGAATAAAATTATTTCGATGCAACAAAATATAATGCATCGGTGGTTTATTTTGGTGCTGCAGCTGGGCAATATTTATTGTAGGCTTTGACACATCATCTTGAATTCCAGAGTAGTTTGTAACGGAGAACAAGAAGTCACCTTGAGAACGCAGGTGCAATTATTCCATTACGATTTTTTTCCACGAAACAACTCTGAGAATATTAAATTAAACCTCGTCAAGTATTTAAAAGGATGATTTATAAAAAAAAATCACAAGATATTCAACAAAAACTAAATTTATTTTTTCCTATTAATTTTTTTTACAGATAATATAACATTAAAATGTATAATTTTTTTCTTCATTTATTTAACAAGATTCTCAATCCAAATTTAATATAACTTAAACAAACCAGTAGCTAGCAATAGAATTTTAAAAATTTAATTTAATTATGCTTCATTGGACATGAGACTGAATAGAAATGGAATGAAGCTTAGTTTTGCTCCAGTGAATGCACATCAGCTAACTCTTCTGAGCAATTTCTAAATGAGCTACTGGCCTGACGCCATCGCCAATTCCAACCGACTCTTCGTCATTATCTCTTAGAGCAATTCTGGTGGGCGAGCTAAATTTAAAAAATTCTTTCGTGAGGGTCTAGTCGGTCTTTACGATAAATGAGACTCAAGACGGGTTTTTGTTAAATTGAGCTGCAGAATCGGTCTTCTGACCTTCTGCTGCTCAATTTTTACACGCAATTTTTGCTCGGCGTGGGAATAATTTCTTTTTTTTTAACTCCCAAGGTGACGTCCAAAATGAAAAAAAAAAAATAATAATTACATTTTTTATGAAGTTTTGCAAACGGGAAACAAAATAAGTTATTAAAAATTACATGTGTAAATTATAATTTATTTAAAAATTGTATTGATTTATTTAGTGAACAGGAATTTACGTAATTTTTTTTGAAAAGAAAAACGTCAAAAAAATAATTAATTTTAACAACATTTACTAAAAAGGACAAAAAATGATAAAATTATATTTTACTGTTTTTTAGGCTCGCCATTGAAGCACTCGCCTGACTTCCATGGCCCTTTGAAGAGACGCTCCTGCACAGATATTCTTTGTCTCTTTCTCTTCTTGGCCTTCATCGGCGGTTGGATTTTCGTCGCCACATACGGTTGGTCACCACTCCCTGTTCAATTAACTCCAATAATGATCCTGTATCTCTTTCAGCCTACCGCCATGGCGACCCTCAGAAACTCATCTATCCCACCGACTCCCGGGGCCTTAGGTGCGGAGTGGACGAAGAGGTCAAGGACAAGCGCTACCTCTTCTTCTTTGACCTGACCGAATGCGCCAAACCGGCCGTCCTGGCCACCGGCTGCCCCACTCCTCAGGCAAGACTTAAGTGAAATATTTTAGAGTATATTGTAATTTTACTTTAAATTTTACAGGTGTGTGTGAAGGAATGTCCGAAAGAGGACTTTGCTGCCTCCTACTACCTTGCCACAAACCGAGACCTGCAGGGCCTGAAGAATAAGTTGATCTGCAAATATGATGTTGACGTTTCCAGGATCACCAGCTTTGCCCAGGTCAAGCAGCATGTTGACAACAAAGAGTGCGCTGCATGGTACATGAACAGCTCATCACGTAGGTTTTTTTTCTCCATTTAAATGATTACAATTGATTTTTTTTTTTATAAATTACAAATATCAAAATCTGAGGCTAATAATTCTCTGTTTTCGCGGAAACCGGAACTTAAATAGTGTCTATTGCTCCTGGCAAACTGGACCCGAGCACAAACAAAACCCGTAAGTCAAAAGGTGGTTTTGTTTCGGTAACCCCATGTGTGTCTCGTGACGTCCAAGTTAATCAACTAAGGAGCATGGAGCTTTTTTTCATTGTTATTTTTTGTTTATGTCTCCGTTCAATCTTTCTGTTTGTTTTTGTTTTTTGGCCAGAATGGAATTTTGGTTTGCAGTTTTGGGCAGGTGCGTCGGCGATGGAATTTTGTACATGGTCAGTGACGACCTTTCCAAGAAAATGAACTTATCTATCCCCAACACCGAACAGACCGAAGTCAATTTATTAAATTCGTTTGGCGCTGGTTTTGCAAAGGTAGTGTTTTTTCCCAAAAAAAGTTAACTTGACGCCCGCTGCTGCTGCTTTGATATTTTGGTATACTTATAACATGCTTGGCCTGCCTCTGATTATGATCTGCATTTAGAGCATTATTTATGTCTGTGAAAATGATTTTAAAGCTTAAGGTTTTGGATAGCTCGGTGCTGAAATGTGTTGAGAGCGCTGATATAGATGAGCTTTTTTTAAATGTGCAGTTGCTGGACGGTGCATTCCATCGTTTTTCATCAAGGCAGGCCAGGAGATGGTGGAGTTGACGATCAACGGCCAGAGATATGACAAGGACAACATACAATCCAGTGTGATTAAGGAAGCCACCTTAGAGCTTGTCAAAGCTCAGGAGGTAGGATTTGTTTTTAACACAACACGACATGCTTTGCTGCAGCTTTATTAATTAACAAAAAGCTGTCAAACGTGTATATAGTTCGTTAATTTCCAAATTCATCTGTGAAAATAATTTTTTACCTAAAAAGGTTGGAGAGATGCTGCTGCAAGACTTGGCTGGATCCTGGCACGTGATCTTGCTGGGCCTGCTGGAGGCCATGCTTCTCTGCCTGGTGTACATTGTGATCATGCGATTCTTAGCCGAACCTATGATTTGGCTCTCCCTCATTGGCTCCATGATCCTCATGTCATTCTGTGAGTAGCATAAAACTAAATTATATTTATTTAGCCAATAAATCAAAATCTTCATAGGCATTTACTTTTGTTACGATCGCTACACCTACCTGAGCGCCGTCCCGAACACAAGCCTGCCTGACCCTACGCTGGGAGACATCTTTACTGGAAACTTCCAAGCCTACCTTGCGGTGAAAGACACTTGGCTCGTTCTTGGCATCATTGCTGCAGTCGTGCTGGTCATCGTCTTGCTCATCACCCTGTTCTTGCGCAACCGACTCAGAATTGCCATCGCTCTGATCAGAGAGGCTAGCAAGGCTGTGGGCTCCACCATGAGCTCCCTCTTCTTCCCAGTTGTGCCCTGGCTCTTGCAGATACTGGTCCTCTCCTTTGGCCTCTCCGTCATGGTCTACCTTGCTTCGACGGGAACCCCTGTCAACCGGGTCAAAGGAATGGATCTGGACAAAAGCTGCCAATGCCAAAATCCAAAACTTTATCATGTACAAGTACAATTTATTTTGTTTAACGTTTTGTCTAATTATGAATTTTTCAGAATCAATTCAATTGCGAAAAGGAAAGTTTCAAACGAGACTGTCACGACGCAAACTCTGGTGGGGAGTGCTTGACTGCTTCTTGCGCCTTCCACTCCTATGGTAAAGACGCCATCATCACCTGGTTCCACACTTACAACATCGTGGGTCTCTTTTGGGGACTGTTCTTTGTGTCTGCTTTCGGAGAGATGGTTCTTGCTGGTAAATATTTTGCCTTTATTTTTCTGAACAAATAGTCACAAATTTTTATTTTTTTAATATTAGGCACATTTGCTACCTGGTATTGGACTTTCAAGAAGGAAAATGTACCTTTCTATACTGTGACCAGCGCTTTCTTCAGGACAATCAGGTTAGTCCTTTATCCTTTTTGAATAAGTGAAGTCTTCACTTTATTGAAACTCAATATTTTAGATACCACATGGGCACCTTGGCATTTGGCTCGTTGATCATTACCATCTGTCGGATCATCCGCATGATCTTGGAGTGGATCGACCACAAGCTGAAGAAGTACCCAAACAACGGCTTTGCTCGAGGCATCTTGTGCTGCTGCAAGTGCTGCTTTTGGTGTCTGGAGAAGTTCCTCCGCTTTTTGAACCGCAACGCCTACATCATGTGTGCAGTGCATGGCAAGAACTTCTGCAACTCTGCACGAGATGCCTTCTTCTTGCTAATGAGGAATGTCGTCCGAGTTGTCGTCCTTGACAAGGTGCCATGTTACTTGATCAATTATTTTTTTTTTCAATATGAAAACTTCAATTAAATTTAATCTTTTATTTTAATTTCAGGTCACCGACTTCCTGCTTTTCCTGGGCAAACTACTGATTGTGTCTGCCATGTTCGCTCAGTGGTTCTGCATCATGAGTGGAAAGCTTCCATTCGCAATAGAGCACATTCCCACACTCAACTACTACATGGTTCCCGTGTTTGTCATCACCATCGGCTCCTATTTCATTGCCTCCGTTTTCTTCAACGTTTACGCCATTGCTGTGGACACCCTGTTCCTCTGCTTCCGTGAGTTATTTTTTTAATTTCACAAGTAAGTTATTTAAATAAAAACTAAAAAAAATTACAGTGGAGGATTCTGAAAGGAACGACGGCACTGCTGAAAAGCCATACTTCATGTCTGCAAAGCTGCTGCGGATATTGAGCAAGAAAAACAAATTGGATAAATTAGATTAGAGGGAAGTTTCATGTGTGCCAATATTTATATTTTTGTACCGATCTGAATGTTCTCGTTCTCTGGAACTGATGAAATTCCCAATGTTCCTTGTAATTGCAATTCCCTCGACTGTCGCTTGGCTCACTGTATAGGAAAATAGAACCCATCGTTTGATTGCTGAATTTTAAAATTTGTGGTACATTTCGTAGATTAGCCAATTGCATATTTCTTAATTTTGTACCAACTTCATACAAAATAATAGAGTTTGTCGTGGTGTTAAAAATTATATTCAATGTTGCAATAGACAAATATTTAAATACAAAACTTGAAAGAGAAATGTGATCTCAGTTCTAAGAATTTTTAAATATTTTCAATTTAAGCGACTCATCAAAATATTTGTACTAACCAATTGCAAAGATGTTAATGCCAAATTTAAAATGATAGATCACTCGAAAAGCGCAAATGGTTGTATTCAAACGTACTAATATTATGCATGTACGATTGCAATAATTAATAAATATAAAGTACGTAAGAAAATATATAAAATCAAATAGTTTTAGTTACAAAAAAAAAAAAAACATTTTAATTTAGTCTACATAATTCATTTATTTTCAACAACACCTGTACATATGTACTGATTAAAAGCTTCTACTGCTCTTTACCAGGAGGGGGTTTCAGGGGGCACTGGGGAGCCGTACAGGGCGCTCTTGTCCCGGAAAAGGGAGAGTCGCTCCGTTTCTAAGCGCTCCAGCTTCAATCCAAGGAAGTAGCCCATAAAAGGAACGGTCAAGACAAACACTCGTGTAAAAAAGTCGGGGATCATCTTTAAAAATTTACTGAAGCAGTTCAGACGAGGAGCTGGTTTCAAGCTTCTTTTGCTTGTAGCGTTGAGTTCGCAGAAGATCGGACACAATCGCCCAGGTCACAAAGGTCGGGAACAGCACGGACAACCAGTACCGCCGAGGAAAAGACAAGCCCATCAACCTAAAATAGGGAAAATTGAATGGACATTCAAAAAAGGTATATTCAAAACATATAAAAAACTTATACATAAACACACAGTCTGTTAATACAAGTGCAAATAAATGGCTAAATTCTAGGAAATTTACAACAAAGCAGTAAAATAATGGAACCTCGGCATGTTATGATAAACTGGAATTGTCAAAATGATAAGAAAACATACTTAGTAGGGCGAAATCGGCTGTTTTAAGCCGAATTCAGCGACAATTTGCAAATTAATGGACGACGTACGATGTAATATGGTGGACACAAGAAAGTGACGATAGTAATGGAGATTACGTCACAGCAACAATAATACTCATTCTTGAGCAACGATTGACTGACTATAAATATGGCCGCTTTTCTACTCCTACTTAAATTTACTTTCATAAAGTGAAGTTACGCCCCTTTTTCTGGTTGGATCACAGAAAACTCGGTGCAATTGATTGAAGGATGAACATGCTATTTTTTTTAGGATTGTTTTATAAAGAATAATACATTCAAGTAACCACAAGTAACGAATTGTAATAATTTATTTCTTTACAATAAACTGCAATAAACAACATAATATATCATAAGTTATTAAAAGTTATTAAAAGTTGACACCCACAATTCAATTACATACATAAATGAGAAGCTGCAAAGCTTTGCATCAGTAATAAAATTGAAACACATTAATGAATGACCTGAATGCAGTTCATTTCAAATGAAAAAGCACAACGCTGAGACATTATTTGATCAGTGCGATTATAATAAATGTGTTGAACAAACACCTCTTTGTATAATGATGTGAAAAATTATTTGCATAATTTTTTACAGAATTTATGCAATTAATACAGTTTCTCTTTTAATAATCTTATCTAATTCCCTCCCACACTTAAAAATAATTGCTGCAGATATATTAAAGATTTAAATTAACCATTACAAGAGAATTTGGAATGCCTCATAAGTTGCAGGGGGCAGAGCATGGCATCACTTTTTCCCCATAAGAAATGCATGTCTCTGTCGAGTGGTGCACTGCGCCTCCTGGTCTGTGGACATGCGTGACGATTGGGTATGGTACGAGAGAAGACGTTGTGCTGCTGATGGTGATGGGAATGGTCTGTGATGCTGGGGTGGTGCCATTTGCAGAGATGGCCTGCGCCACCGTCACAACTGGAGGAGCAATTGAGATTCCAGCAGTTGCCAAAGACACCTGAGAACATAATTTCTGAATTATAAAATTACTGCTTTATTTTTATCTCAAATTTATTGACCTGAGTGACAGATCCAGGTCCAACTGCTGTAGCAATGGTAACAGGAGGTCCATCGGTGGTGTTGGTGATGGTGACAGCAGGCAATGACACAACAGCAGCCGTCTGGGGTTTAAGTCTCAATCGGGCGTTCTGCTCGAGAAGCACTTCGTTGGTTGCGGCCAGGGTCTCCACCTGTCTATGCAACTCGTCCAGCATCCGCTTCAGGTCGAGATTCTCGTCTTGCAGGTTGGAAATCCGAGCCTCAACCTCTTCAGAATAACGCTGCCTCTTAACTGGAGGCTCTAATCGCTCCAAGGACAGCTGCATGACCTGGGCGGCGGTCAAGTGGCGGTACTTGCAGTCTCGGTTTCTGCGACAGTTGCCTCGGAGGTACTCGGTGCACACAGGAGGCTCACCTATAAATTTTCATTGGGAAAAAGTTCATAAATCGTATTTAACAACAACAACCTTGGAGCATGTCCAGGGGCATAAGACCCTGGATGTGTGCAGAGACGGTGGCGTTTAAAGGTAGGCGGCCGGTCTCTTTGAAAGCCTCCTCTTCATCTCGGCTGCAGTGGACAAAACGACAGTTGGCTCTCGGGCAGCCCTTGTTTTGGAAGTCGTGGCAGAAGAGGACCTGAGAGTTGTTGTTGTTGTTGGTCTCTTCGCACGGAATGGTGTGCTGAAACTTGCAGCGTTTGCCTCTACGGCAGGTGTTGCGCAGAAAGTCGCGGCACACTGTGTTAAAGTGCGACGAGTTCATGGACAACTCGTCCGTCCGATCGGGACCTCCGCAGGACGAGCTCATTGTATATCTGTAAAATACATATGTACATCCATATAAAAAGAGAAAATTAATTATAGTAAGGTAAATTTTCAAAAAACCTTAAATATACTCAGCAGTCAAAAGGTAGCTGTTTGTTTACAATTATTTCGAATTATTCAAGCAATTATATATGTAATTCTTGTTTCTTGATAGAGCAGCACAATAGAGCAGTTGCGCCAACTAAACCGTTAATTTGTTTCCGTCTCTTTTTAATTGATGATAATGATTTCATCATTTTATTTTGAAATAATCGGAATCATTTGATTTATTTTTAATATTTTCCAATGAAGAGCTTACGTTTTGATCCATTTGTGCGTTTTTCATAGGTAAGCGTAAAATATTGTTTTGTTTGCAAATCTGCTCGTAATAATTGTAAACAAACACAGCTCAACAATTTCGGCTTACTCGCTATGTTTTTACTCAAATTTCTTATTTTCTGAGTGAAAATTCTTCAAAATCGATGTGCAACTAGCGGGAGTTTAACATTTAGATCTCGTAAAATATTTACTTCAACAAAATGTTCCATTGATCTTGATTAACTTAAAATTTAAATCTTATAAACAGATGTAAGCCGCAGCAATGGAAATTGCCGCCAAGATTGCAAAGTTTGTCCTACCACTGGACGAGGCCTTTGTCGAGCAAGCGTGGCTGCAGGAATTAAGCGAATTGGGCGTTGAACCTTTCTTCAGCGACGACGACGACCTTGAGCTGCGAGTCATCAATCTCATCGATGCCTCGGAGGCTCTGGAGAAGGCTCTTGTTAACGCACCGGACTTCCAGCCCGCTCAATTATGGGCAGACCTCACTGCCAGGGGGCTGCACCACCGAAACATTCTTCCGTACATCTCGTACTTTTCATCGAGCTTTGCAAAAAATTCTGGCAGCCTCAAGGCAGACACTGTCGGACTTGCTTCCGCCAGTTTGTTTTTCAAGATGCTCTCTTTGCCTGGAGCTGTAACATTTAACATGTTCCACCAGGTATTGTGCAGAGTAAATATCTATGTATGCTTCAAAATTAAAATGACGGTTTGTGTTTCAGATTGTTTTTGATTACGCTGTGGACAAGTTGAATTTACTGACAGAAACTCAAAGTAAAGAGCACAGGGACAAGAAGCAGAAAAATGCTGTCCAAAGAAGACAACAGACCATCACAAAAAGAGTCACAATTTTGATGGAGGACCTAACTCGCTTGCTTCGAATAGGCTTTGTCCAAAATCGTCAGCTGGCTGTCAACATTACTGTCAAAAAGCTGGCAGAAATACTCTCTCTTGAAAATAAAATCTTGATCAGGGATTTTGAAACTGAAGATGACTCATTCACATACAGGTAATACAATTTAAAACTGTTCAGTTAAAAATTAAAAAAAAAAAATATTTCTTCCAGAGCTTACATTGCACTGTACATTTTGTGCAGTGATGAAGAAAACATATGTCTGGTATTGGAGCACCTTTTGTCCACCACTTTGTCCCTATCGGGCACACCAAGTCAATTGCGATGCTTCTCGGAAACCTTGACCAACTTCATCAAGTACCTGCTCATAACCAAAGAGCCAAAAGATATGTGGCCTGCTGTGATGATTTTTATGCAGCACCTTTTGACCAGGTCTGTTGAAAGAGCTGAAAACAGACAGAAGGTTGGACACCTCGCCACCATTTTGATCACAAAGATGCCGAAACAACTGGCAAACTGTGTCGTCAAATGGGTGTTCATGTATCTGGCCTTTTCGGAAAGATCCACATACAGATTGATGGTGCTTGAGTTGTTCCAACAGCTTTTGCAAGAGAGACAAATGGAGGACTGCTCGAACGAAGATTTAGTCAAAGTAAACCAAATTTAAAACAAAAATTATTTTTCGTTAATATAATTAATGTGGATAGGACAAAGAGCCCCTTGCTGAAGACGAGGAAGAGGAGGTAGATGACAAGATTTTACAAAAACTTGTGAATTTCCCATTTGAAGGAGGCAGGAGAGCCATCAAACATAGCCACATCTTTTGCCTTGCTCTGCACAGATCAGTGGATGTAGCTCCTTTGATAAGAACTAAAGCTTTGAATATGTTGGCTGAAATGTTGATGTCTGCGTGTGATGCTCCTCTAAGTCCAGTAAATAAATTTAATAATTATTATTAACGGATAAAATTAATAATTCTAAATATTTCAGCTTGTGAACGAAACTTTTGTTGAGCCGTTTGAGGAGACAATAGCAATCAGTGAAAAGGTCACAATTCTGTGGCAAAACAGGTCTGATTTCTTGGATGGTGTGCTTGGCCAGGATATGTTTATTCCTGGAGCAGTGACAATCGTCAACAATTTAGTTGCCATAGCTGAGGACGAGAGGGTTTATGTTAGAAAGGCAGCCCTGCACTGTCTAGTCAGTTTAGGTAAACTGTCTCGACACTGGATCTCCAGCAGCTTTTTAGAGGTACTTTCTATTTTAAAATTTTTTCTTCTCGATACGAATTCTCTATTGGCAGTTGGTGGCAAGTCATTGCAGAGACCCAGCGCCCATGATACGGAAGCAGGCTATCGTTTGCTTGACTGAACTTTTGAAAGAGTACTTCAGCATCCTTCCTATTGTAATCAATTACTGGGTGTCTTCTGTCATGCCTTGTCTGCAAGACCCAGAAAGCAAAGTGCAAGAACTTGTGCAGGAGGCAAGTAGTTTTTTTTCTCAATATAAAATATATGTCAAGTTTTAATTTTAGCAATTCCATGATATATTTTTTGACAACCTGAGGACTTATGACGAAGATTTGACCAAGCACAATCTTCTTCCCTGGAATGTCATGAGGCTAGCAATCACATTCAACTTGAAGAAGTTACTCTCGGACACGTTGAACGTTTGGGCAAAAGGAAAAAATCTTCCGTAAATTTAAAATATTTAATATAAAGCTTAAAATTAAAAAAAAAGGATCTAGGTCTGGATTTATTAAAATAGTCATGAGCTACATTGGCACCAATTTCAACAAAGAGGCGTGGACCCTCCTGGCCATCATATCGGAGAGCCAAAACATTCAGAATGTGGAATTTGCCCAGAACTACTTCAAACAGCATTCCCAAAAAATGAATAAGGTAACATTCATATAAACCAATCAAACTTATTCTAACCTCAATTTAAATTTGCAGACTGAAATTGGTACAATTTACTCTGTGCTCAGGGTACTGATGCTGAATGCCAAATCATTGTCACCTGAGCAAACAAAACAGCTCAGAGACATTTTATGCACAAAGATTGAAAATCTCGCCTTCCCCACAGATCTAATTGGCTGTTCAATTGACACTGTTGCTGCTCTTGACATAGCCCAAAACCAAATTTCAGACTTTGATTCTTGGTGCAAATCAACGTTCAAGGTTGGCACTCATCTATACTAAATATCGCTAAATATAATACTAATAATAATTCACATTTTTCAGAGGCTGGAATTAAAGATTTCCATGTATCTCAGCAAACCTGGTCATGCTCCTCCAGATTCATCCGAGGAGGCCAAACTAAGGGAAATCACCACTTTGGGAGACGTCATGAGAGCGGCCTCGATTTCAAACTCGTCCACTAAAGCTACAGCTCCTCTCATCAGCATCGCCCTCTTTGGTGACGAAAGACCAGAATCCAAAAAGTTGGCTTTTGAAGCCACTCCTCGTATGAGGGCCATTGCGGTTGTTGCCCTAGGAAAAATTGCTATTTTGCATGAGCAGGTTGCCTTTGAAGTGGTCGTCCTTTTCCAACACCTGCTCAAAAAATCGAGTGACAATGTCCTCAGGTGCAACATCTTGGCCGTCCTTGCCGACTTGATTGGAAAGTTAGATAATCGATGTTTAAATTTACATTTAGTCTAAAACTGTAAATTTTCTTCATAGATACGCAACACTTGTTGAATCCATAGTGGCTGAGATCGAAATTTGCCTCCATGACCCAGACCCTGATATGCGCCGTCACGCCCTAGTGGTTGTGGTGCAACTTCTGCAAGGCGACTTTGTCAAGTTGAGAGGCAACACTCTCCTCTTCTACTTGCTGAGCACACTTTGTGATCCTGAAGACGATCTGCGTGATATGACAGCCAGTTATTTGACCAACACACTTATAGCCAAAGTGATACTTTAGCTCATTTTTTTTTCTTTTGGATAATCAATGTTTTTTTGCAGGAACCTAATGCCTTCCAGCAAAATTTGATAGCGGCAATTATTTTGCTGAACGCATTTGAAGATCACGAGCGTTTTTCAAAAATAAAAATAACTCAGGAGCGACTGCGAAGGCTGGCACTTCCTGGCCCTGAAAACAAAGACAAAAGGATGATTGTTTACTCCTTCATGTTGGAGCACATGTCCGACGACCATCGCTTTGATTCGATGCATAGAATTTGCACACAAATATTAGGTAAATTCAATTGCAATAATTTAGAAATATTAAATATTCAAATAACTCTTGGCCATCAGGAGGATTCATTGAGGGAAATTTCCTACTGGGCAAACATGACCACATCCTCGAAGATGCACTTTCTGCATTGCGTTGTGAGCACATTCGTCTCCGCTGCATGAATGTTGCTTCTGATGCTGAAGTTACGGATGCTGATGAAGCTTTCAACAAACTTTACGAGCAAACAAAGAAAATATATGTTGCACATGTGAGACTTCTTTTTTGAATTGAATAATTAAAAACAATAAATTGTTTAATTTTATTTGTTTAGGAAGTTAAGAAGAAGATTGTGGAGAGCATTGTCCCTATAATCAGATCTCTGAGGATAATGTTGCAGAAAGAGAGGTCTCCACTTGCAAATGAACTTATGCAATTCCTTCGAGACCTGATGAAAGACTTCAAATCTGAGGTGATTACTTTCTTACAGTTAAAAAAAAAATCATTTGAAGTATCTTAACACCTAGTTGTAAGTGAAATATAGCTTGCGGCCTATCTTGGCCCCCTCTTGAGTCAATTGGCGTTTTAGCAAAAATTTTTGGCAGAGGTATTGCCGTTTCTTCACATTTTGTCTCTCTTATTTTGACTTGATATGTGAAGAATAAACAACAAGAATAAATACTCTAATTATATCTTTAAAAATATTAACTAAATTAAATATATTTTTTTAGATTGATGAAATCTTTGCTGGAGATAGACAGCTGGTTGAAGAAATTGCCTTCGACATTCGACAATTGGAGGAGCAAGAGGGAGGTGAGATGGAGGAAGATGATTCAGACTGAAATTGTTTTTATTTAGCAAATTTAGTTTTAATTTTTAACTAATATCTTTTAACATAGTTTTAAAGTAAGTTTAACGGCACACCTTATTGGGTGTTTTTAATTAGAAATGAACTTTTAAAAGCGTTAATAAATTTGAATGGTCTGATTATTCTGATTCACACTTTTTTTCAATCGTAATCATGGAAAATTGAGAGTATTGGTTTCTCTGCCTTGCGCCTATTATACTTCATGTGTGAAAAACAAAAACGCTCGCTTCAATGAGCGCATCAGCATAAATTTACCGCCGGCCTGAGCCATATATTTTTTGCGTCCAGTGGGTTTTACGAACCAGAAAATTTTAAGAGCACATTCTACTTACGGGGACGACTTTGCATGCCGCAATTATTTTTTCATTCATTAGGAAGCTCCGCCAAGTGAAAAAGAGTTTTAATCGCTCTAGGGTTTGTGTGCTGCGGCGCATGTGTAATGTAGGTTATTGTCTGGCTGAATGAGTGTGAGTGGACAGTACGATTAATCGTTGTTTGCGCGTACACCGACCGGCGCGCGAGAGAGATGAGTGCGCTCTTGAAAATGAACTTGTATGGAGGCCAAGGCAATGGCGAATGTAGAGCACACACTCGCGCGCACCGCGAGCGAGACCTACAAATTGGCGGCCGCAGGAAGACCAGTTTCTTATTCGGCTAGGTGCGCAAAAAGTGCATGTGATCTTTTTTACTCGGTAATTTCATTACGCGTATGAACAAATGAATATGTACGTGAACTTAATGACTCCATTTTTTGCCCTCGCGCAATTATTTTGTCGATCGTGAGATTGCCCCTGTCGGATGTTGGACCAAAAACTGGCACCTGGTTCACTTAAAAAAAAATATTCTGTACTTGAAATTAGTTTGAGGAGGAAATTGTTTTTATTTTTTATAAATTATCAATTCTACTAAAAATAGTTAAAATTAAACATCATAAGTTTACTCGAAATTTATTCTAAACAAGACTATTTCCTTTTGAGTCCAAAATTTTTGGCCAAAAAAAATATAAATAAAATAGGAATATGTCAATTGTCAATTGTTTCAGCAAAAGACTTACTTATTTTTGGTTTTTCTCGTTTCTAGTCAAAATTATTTCCACTGAAGGGGAAAAACATTTCTTTTGATCAAAACAAAATTATGAGTAAACATTAATTGAAAAAGGAGGACAAGAAGTGGACGCATTAGATCGAAAGTGGTTTTAAAGTGTTTTGATAAAGGCCATTGTTCTGGTGATCCAAATCAAATGTGGACTGAGTTATTTATTTCACTTGTTTTTGTTGGTCGGACGCGCCGAGTCGTGATTTAATTTATAAAATATCTTGCTGCGAGATCGCCGCGGCCGCTCGTGCTTGCGTTAGGATGGCATTTATTTCTTTTTATCGCTGTTGTTCCTTTCCTGGCGATGATTGATGGAATATTTCTGCGCTGCGGTCGGGCGCTTTTTATTTGACCAAAAATTGAGAGACCCGATTTCTTATAATTTCTCTGCTACGAGAAATCGCTTTGGTAAAAAATATTTTCCACGATTTATCAAATTGTATGCATCTCTGTGTGTAAAGTCGATTATTGAGAGCACGTTGGCAGCATAAACAGTTGGGAAAACCGCGAGACAGTTATCGAACACACACACACTACTCGTGAAATGTGAGAAGCACATTTTAATATACTTGGATATATATTTTGTTGTGGTGATTGCTGGTGTGAATGAAAGAAAAGCGATCAAGATAGAAAAGTGTGTGACACTTTAATCTTGTTTGTACTGCATTTTTTCTATTTCTAATTAAGCTACTGCGCACTAAGTTTTGCTATTTGAGCTTTTTGAAAATATGAATTTTAATTTGAGAGATTTTCTATAAAAAAAAAGATTTCCTCTTAGGTGATTTTTTTATTAAACCTAATTATTTTATTTCAATTAAAACAAAATTATATATGTTTTAAAATTGTAATTTCATTCAAGATGGTAATATGAACGCAAAACATGAATCAATCGGGCTGATAGCCAACTTGAGAAGCCGTTAAATTTTATAGGCAAAAAAACGCGAGCCAAAGAGCACACGAAAGAAAGCACTTCCTTGATTATCTCAAGCTAATCCATTAAAACCCCTGTTCTCTTTTCAAGTAGGTGGTGGCAATTTAAAAATATTGATAACTGTACTACTTTTTGGTCAAATAATGGGTGCAACAATTGCCTGACAAATTTCCACCACAACAACCATTGTTGGCATTAAAACACTTTAAAGATTTAATTTTCATGGTTGTTACATTTTTGTTTTTTGTATTTTATTCCCAATTTGGTCTAGACTTTTTTTTTAAATGAAAGAAATAGAAAAATGATATATTAAAAAAAAAATGAAAATATGTTATCCAGTAAAAAAAAAAAAAATTGGAGAGACTTCAAAGATGTAAAAATTAATTGATTTTTAAATATTTTTACTTGCAAAATCTCCTTTGTTGGAAGGAGAAAATAGACATACTTTTCAAATTAAGTACTCCTTATTGACATAGTCAAATCAAGTCTTTACAACAATAGGAGCCATTTTGAGCAATTCTTGGAAATTTAACAAACCATTGTTGTAAAGACGATTTGACTATATCAATAAGGAGTCCTTAAAAATATACTAAGAAATTTTAATCAAATATTGTGTGTGAAAAAAACTTATGAAATAGATCAAATCTGAATTTGTTCATTAATGAGTATTTAAAATAATAATTAATACAGAGTATAATTTGCTTTTTGTTCCGTTAGATAAATTATCTCTCCTCAATGGGAGCAAAATCTCAAATTATTTCCAACTGATTGTAGTGATTGTGAATCATGATTTTTCCTTAATGGCAGGTTGCGTCAGCAGACGTGATTGTTTCTCTGCAGTTAAATTTATTTTAATTCTTTTTAATTAGCATTCCACATTTTCTGATATACTTATTAATAAACTGTAAAATAAATTCAAAGCGGATTTTTTCAAAGGCATAAATATTCTGAATGAAATTTTATTTAAATGAAAATATTGTTTAATTGATCTAATTTCACGCATTAAGCACCGCACTCTCTCTTCTGCTCCTAAAGCACAAAAAATGCGATGCATCATGATCATTAAGCGCGCTGCTCGCACCCACTCATTAAAATTTACAGTGCAGTAGCGTCGCTGCTTCCTCTTATTTTTTTTCATACATTTATATTGCTCTCGGTCGCTAATTCAGAATGTGGCTCATCTCTCACATCGAGCTTGACCCTAATGACAAATTTGCTAGAAAAGGTTAACGCACATGTGCTGCAAATATAAATTTATCCGCGAATATATTGGCACCTGTCCTGTCTCTCTCGCGAAAGAGTTGGCTCGCGCAATTAGTTGTGTGTCTTGGCGAGTGGAAGGGGCGTCCGCAGGTACTGGTTCGCTGCTGACACACATCCAGGTCCATCCTGTTCGGGCCGAGGCGTGCCCGGATAAAAAGCAGCAGACCCCTCTGCAGCCATTCAGTCGACATGAAGGTGCACGCGGCGACACTACTCTTGCTCGGGACCCTGGCGGCCCTCGCGGCGGCCCAGGACCCTCTCGACGCCGCCTACCGCTTCGTCCAGGCGTGCGGACCTCAGGACCTGTCCATGTGCCTCAAGCAGAGAGCGCTCAACTTTGTGGACGACGCACTTTCCAAGGGCGACATCCCCATCTTGAGCGGAGTCACCCTTCTGCAAACTGCCAACCCCTCAGGTACGCTTTTTAGGAATTTTTACGCAATTCAATATTAAATTATAAAATATTCTGAGAATATATTGAAGGAAAAAAATTAATACTGAGGTAATTTGATATTTAAATTTAACTACGTAAGAGAAACTAGTAAACGAAAAACTAAAATTTGACTGAGACTCTTTATATTAATCTTGCTAAAGGTAAAAATATTATTGTTTTCCCTTATCAATTCCTTAAATTAAAAGATTTTTTCCTTTGTCTTAATTTAACACAAAGTTAAACAACTAATTCATTATTTTATTATAAATTCAAATTTAGCCGATTAATATCTCTTTAGTTAAATATTAAATTAAAAATTTATTATCTTATATTTTATTTCACTTTTTCCCCAGAACGAACTGGCAAGGAGGTCAATGACATTCCCCGCAACGACGAAAACCCTGAAGCTCACGTCGAGTCTTTGCTGATTGACAGAGTAGCCAGGTTTTTCAGCACTCACACCCTTCAGGTCAAAGTACCTGACGATACCATCTCCGACCTGAAACGCTCCATCGAGGAAGGTTAGTTTCTTTTTCGAAATTTCCCTACATCTCTTTAGCTAAATAAATTATTAATTAGGTCGTAAGAAGAAAAAGAAGTTCCTTCTGCCCTTCCTCCTTGCCCTGAAGCTGAAGGCAGTGGCCCTGGTGCCCCTGGTTTTGGGTGCCATCGCCCTCCTTGCCCTGAAGGCCCTGGTCGTCGGAAAGATCGCCCTGGCACTGTCGGCTCTGATTGGTCTGCAAAAGCTGCTGGCCAACCAGCACAGCACCAAGACGGTGGAGGTGGTCGCCCACCCTTCGTACTCTCACGAGGAGCACCACAGCACTGGAGGCCACGGCCACTACGCGCGCAACATCGAGCTGCCCTACAGCGCCCACAAGCCTTGAACTTGCCAAAACTTTAATTCTTGACTCTAATCTTCGAATACTGTGTTCCTCCCTATTTCTCTTGCTATCAAATATGCTGTGATGATATTGCCCAGCGAAGTACAAACTCTTTGCTCAAGTCTAGTTTCCTCTGTGCCTTTTTTTTAAATCTCTGCTCTCTTTTTTTTCATGAAATTCCTCTCTACGCTTTAACGAGTTTTAATTTATTTTGCCTAATTTATTGTGTACATGAGCGTGCTAAATAAATATGTTGCCAAATTTGCCCAAAGTTAAGTGCATATATACCTGCGTATTATTATTATATTATTTTTTGCTGAAATTCGGGCACTGTTGTCGCCAGAATTCTTGTCTTCGTTTCAGAAAAGCAACTCCTTCCTCTGCGTGCGTGGAAATGTGACTCACCGAGTCTTGATTCGAAGCTTTTATATCTGCAATAAAAAGTGCAAAAAGAAATAATCATGAAAATTAAGCTATACGCTGTGGTTTTAATGATTCAACCTGGATGTTGGAGGAGGTTTTCCAGATACTCCCGGTCCACGCTGAGCTGGCCCAAGAGATGTTGCTTCTTTCTGGGTTGTTTGCTGGCTGTAGAGGAAGAAGTCCTACTTTTCCCCGAGGACGGCGTCGATTTTGCTGTCCCACTGGCAGCAGACTTTGTTCCTACACACCATTATAATAAATACATCGGATGAATTATCAGAACCCAGTTTTACTTAATGGGGTTGCAGGTTTTAAATTGTTATTTTCTTTAGTTTCGCTCCTCTCCTCCTCCGAAGCAGGGGAGTTGCTTTTGTTCTGATTCTTTTCATCCAAATCTCCTGCGTACTTTGATGAAAGGAGAGCTAGTTTATCCCTGCAGCCTTAAATTAAAAAAGGCACAGTCAATAATTAAATTTTATTTTATTTTACACTCACTTCCAATGGCGTTCTCAATTGCCTCCTGAGCCTTTTGCACGCCCAGTCGAAAGCCAGCCTGCTCAGGTCGCAAGCGCTGTCCTCGGTGGTAAAACATCAGGCTGTGCTCAAAGTCGCCTAAGTGATAAAGCGCCTCTGCTTTTTGAAATATTGCTATGAATAAAAATTGATGGATGGAAAAATTTAAACATTAAAATTATTAAACCTTTGACGAAGTGCTTGTCATAAGCCAGAGCTGCGTTTGCGTCCTGAAGGGCTTCTTGGGCCAGTCCAAGCAAAAGGTGGCACTTGCTACGAGCGACCAAGGCGTGCTTGTCATGTGGTTGGAGCTCCAATGCCTTAATTAAAATATTTAAATTATTTTCATTTTTCATAATAATACATTTAGCAACCAAATTTATTCAAGAAACTCTTGCATTTTATATTATTAATTCCTGTAATTTTACAAAATTCCTTTTGCCATTAATATACCTTGTTGACAAACCCCAGAGCGACCTTCAGGTCACCGCCCTTCATCTCGTGACCTCCCAAGGTCAGCAAGGTGCTCGGATCGGCCTGCTCGGGAATCTGCAGCGCCTTGCTCCGTTCCTGGCGTCGCTTCAATTTGAGGCTCAACTTGATGTCTCGGTTGCCCATATTGACGGCGGCCGCCCTGTCCTTGTCCGTATAACATTCTTCTCCCCTGCGGAAGTAGCTGTCCCCCTTGCCAGAACGACGGCCTTGTCTGTATTTCCCAAGCATAATGAAGTTCATTAAAAGCACAAAAGCAGTGTGCATTATGTATATATAATTAATCAGGGCACGCTCGAATTCTCCTCCCGCCTTTTTCATTTCGCGGAAATATCCAACCCCTCCACCCTTTAGAGTATTATGAAGGAGGCAAAAATGATAAATTTGTTTGAAGATTCAGTATTAAGAAATTAGAGAAAAATCAGCAATAGAAAATGAGATTCTCATCATCTTTGGTTCAATTATTTTACATTTTTAAGCAATTCTTGTTCTCAAAACGATACAACTTTCTTGAGAAAATCCCCTCCTTTCAATACACTCGCCCTTGAATTTCTCGAATCAGCAAATCGACCAATCAGAAATCAGAATCTGAGACCTGAGACAGTTGTGCAAAAACATTAATTGTTGTCATTTACGACATTCATGTGTGGTGTGAACTTTTCAAATTTTGGACTTTAGACTGAAAAGAATTCTTCCCTGAGGAGCATCTGCAGTTCCTGCTGCTGCTGCTGGATGCGGCGGATCTTGATGTCCTTGCTGATCTGCGCGAACGACGTGTTCTTGCGCGTCTGCTGCGCCGACGGCAGCGGCGCCGACCCTTGCGACGACCTGCGTTCTTCGCCGCCCGTCGGAAGGGTGCGCCTTGAGGTTGGTGTCTCTGCGGCGGCCGTTCCGCGGCCGTCGGGCAGTTTCAACGGCAGCGGCAACACGATGCTCGGCCTCTTCTTGGTGCGCTGCTCGTCGACGCCCGGCGAGACGGCGGCGCCGTCGTCGGCGCCGTCGCCCACCCTGATGAAACTCTGCATGTAGTCGGCCTCTCGAGAAGTGAAGAGGATGCTGCGGGCCCGTTGTGTCAGCGAGTCGGCCGCCGGTGCTGCTGCTGAGGCCTCCATAATTCTGTATCGGACCAAAAAGCATCGTCGGAGGAGGAAAAGCAGAGGACGTTAACAAAATTTCCAAATTAATTAAATTTTGATAAAATTGAGATTAAAAAATGCAACGTTTTCGGGATAATTTTATAAACTTTAAAAATTTTGCATGATGAGCTGTGTTTTTTGTCGCTTTTTTTTTTTTTTTTTTTTTTATTGCAGATTTCTGCTTTTTATTCCTTGAAAAAAGTTGATGAGTCTGTTTGTGATTTTAAATTATAATTTCAATATATTGATTATTTATTCGATTTTTTTTTTATTCTTCATGCACTAAAATTGAAAATTTTCCGTCAGCCATCACAACAAAAGTTAATCAGAAAGCCCCGCAATAATGAAAATTTTCTGTGATTGTTGTGATACTCTAACTCGGCTTGGCATCAATACAACAATGAAAACTAAATTTCAACAAACGCTTTGGAAATCGTTATTTACGGTATAGAAACTTCCAGAATTGAGATTAGTTAAAAAATAGCTGCCGGTTTGTTTTAAAAGAATTTTCCAATTTTACTTCGATTAAATGTGCCTTCTTATTATTATTGTTAATTTAGTTCAAAATTACGTCAAAGTAATTCAAGTAATTTTTTTTTTAATTCAAGCAGAATGAATGGGCTTAAATTAGTCTTGAAATAAAATGAAACTTAAATATCTATAAAAACCATTAGAAACATTGATCAAATCAATTAACTTATAAGTTGCCCAATGTTTAAGCTGGATTTTTCCAATTAATTATAAAATTTAGGTGTCTTATTGTTAGTCATCATTAAATTTTCGTCCCATGTAATTATGCAGATGGTATGTTAATATGTTTCCTAAAAGCCCACTTGTAAAACTAAAAATTCAATGCAAATTTTTTTCTGAAAAAATTTAAACCGGGTTCCTTGTTTTCAATTTTTCATGAAATCCCCCTCGACTGTTATCTTTGAATTTTAATTTCATCTAATTTTTATGGGGTACTTCATATTTTTAAAACCTTTTTAAAGTAGTTTAACTATGATTTCGATTTATTTATTCTCCATTCATTGATTGATTTCGATGCGTATATTTTTTAACTGGCAATAGAAAATTTAATCTGCTTAAAATATTTTTCAGTTCTGAGACTTTTAACAAAATAAATTTAGCTTATATTTTAGCATTATTATGTGACATTCTAAACTAATATTGATATAATAGGGCGCTGGCGCATTTGCCTGATCAATAAAAAGGCAAGTCGTATTATTTGACGAAGAAAAAATCGTCTCTCATAATGATACGCGCTTAAGATATGCCTGTGCTGGGGCGGTCGCGGTGGTAGTTGGCCGTGCCAGGACAGATTATTTTAACGACAATTAGTCGCACACGGCATTTTAACAAACCGTGCAGGGAAACAAAAGGGGCTCGCATCAAAGAAGATGATCCGCGCCGGCGACAAACCGCGAGGCAGCGACGTCCCTATTATGCGAAAGTCACGCGATCTCGAATCTTCACTGCTAATTATTCGGTTTCTGCGATATGGATTAACCAACTCACCCGACGTCGTGGAATTTGTTGAGAAAAAGGCGAAAATTGAATATTTGGGTGCGAAAAGCGGCACTGATCGCGAGTTTCTATGGCGACCGCGGTCAACAATTTCACACCGAGCACAACACGAAAGGGCGCCAAAATTGATGCTTTTCCGCATTGGCGACGGCCCATGCTGTGATGAAAGTAAATAACGTGACTAAATCGGAGGGTTGATATTATTTGCTAGTTAAAAATCAAAGAAAAAGAAGCCTAATATGCAAATAAACAAAAATTTAAATCTAGCAATATTCAACAAATTGGAGTGACTTTCATGAAGTAAGGAAAATTCAATGCCAATGGACTTATGAAAGTTTAAAATGGCACTTAAAATTTGCTAATTAATTTTGCGAATTCCTTCAAAATTGATATTGTTAAGAAAAACATTTTCTTTTAAAATTTACAAAAATTTCTAATATTTCCTTCATTGTTTCTCAAGAACTTGGAATGAATAGATTTTTTTATTTAATTCAATTAAAAATAAATTTATTTTATTTAGACTTATCCAAGCATTTTAATTTTATTTAATTTATCTTAGAATTTTTTATATAATTTTTTCAATCAAACAAAATCTTTTTGTTATTCGTTGCAAAAAAAAATATTATAGTTTCTTCCAACCAACCATAATTTACAATTCAATAAGCAAGTCCATTCTGTAAAAGTATATTAATTGTTTTTTTTTCTCATCACAACATCAATGAATTAATCAAAATAATTTTGCAAGAGTTTCTTGATAAGATTGATTTAAAATAGGGAGATCTTTTCACCCTTTCCAGTCCGTCGAGTGCTTTCTGGTAGTTTCCGTTCTTCAGCTGGTTGGTGGCCTCGTCGTAGCGGACTCTGCTCTCCGCCTGGGCCGCCTGCTCTTCCCTCATCGCGGCCCGCTGCTGTTTCGTGGGCTTTGGCACCACTTTTGGCTGGTTTTGGTTCTTGGTTCCACGGGGCACTCCCATTTTTTTTTGACCTGAGATAAAAGTAGAAAAAGAAATGTTTAAACTTTGAGGTAAAAGAAAAATACACAATCAAATTATCTATCTTTAAAAAAATGTGACAGATATTTTTACGTTTTGAGTTACTGCTGGACCAAAGTATCAAATTTGACAATAACTTTTTTTTGTATCAAATTCAATTAAATTCTTTTCCCTGATAGTCTGCAGGGGAAATCTGTCTTTTAAAGAAAACTATTTTTAAACATCATTGAAACTATTTATTTCTGATTTTGAAATAATCCAAATCTTTTATTCTTGTAAAATCTATTTTTATCCACCAATGAAGTATAACTTCAATCACTTTGCTTTCAAATACTCTTGACTCATATCATATCAAATTAAAGTCATAGACTTTTAATACTTGTGATATCAACTAGATTAGGATCATTGTGAAATTTCCATCAAATTATGTAAGTATATCTTTGGTCTGTAATCAAATTAGCTGTCTCTTTGCATTATTTACAAACAGAAAAGTCCATTCGGTGCCTTGCAGTGCTCACTTGGAAATTAAAGGAAAAATAGAGCAATCAAATGCTAATGACGCGCATTCCAAGTGCACACGCGAGCTGCTTCACGTTTCAGTGGCATGGAAATAAAGAAAGTCTGATGTCACTGGGGTAGTTGCTTTACAGGGGTTGACTCGGAACAAAAAGCTGCGGGTGACGCAGTGAAAAAAAATACAAAAGTCACAATCTAGTTAATTCGAAAGGAAACTTTTCATGTCGCATAAAACTTTGGATTGTCCCAAAACCATAAAATAAACAAGACTTTTGAAATGTAACACCGAAAGAAATCGTCAAGGATTACATAAAAGAAAATATTTCAAATTTTACCAATTTTGGATCTAATGAAATATATTTCTAAAGCGTGCAGAGCTTTTCAATAAGCCAAAGTGATTGACCGTGACAAGGCACAAAAATACACGTTGTAAGAAGCGAGTGCCAAAATTAAATGGCCCCTGATCGATTCCCGCATAAAGCGCCCTGCGTGAGACGTGTCGCCATTTCCACCTGCATTTTACACCCTAAAAAATTCGTCTCGTGACAAGAAAAGATACACAAAGCCTCGAAATAGCAAAGATCAAGAACACACATGTAGTAAATTTGACCTTGTGATCAAAAACGTGCTGTACTTTTTGTCCAAAAACTTGCACTACAAGAATTCATAAAATGGAATTTAAGAATTCCAGAATATCCAAATGTTTCCAATTAAATTATCTCAATATTTTGTGAAATTTTAATTAATTTTAGCTGCGGATATTTATGAATGTTGCCCACAGAAAAACTATCTGTAAAATATTAACTATTTTTCTTAATGAAAATGAAGATTAACTTTAAATCTTCAATAAAAAAGCTGTTTGAAATTATGTCGAGCCAAAAAAATTACCAATTTAATGAAAATTAAGATTCACAAATAATTTTGTCTTTTTAAAAGAAGGCTCTTTAATTATTTTACTGGGGCGTAAAACACTTACAAAACCTGCCGATTTGTCCGTCTCTGTTGTGGCGACAAAGTCACCCTCTGCGAGCTCCGTTCCCACCACTTAGGGTGGCTCTCCTCAAGCAAGTCAAAGGACGCACTGCCGCCGCTGCCTTGCTGATTAAGTCCCTTCTCTCTTTTCTCTTCGCCGCGCACATGTTCTATTTACAAATTTTCGCATCGCATGCGCCCCACAACAACCTTATTGTGTTTGTCATTTGATGCCAGGTGTTGAATTATTCACACCCTTTTTCAAAGCTTGACAATATTTGAAATTAACTGCTTATTTATAAAATGTCTAACTATTTAAAAATTGATTTTTTTTTTTAATTTAGCCGACTTATTTAAAGAATTTCTAAAAATTTGAACAAAATTGCTGAATTCGCAGATAAAATTTAAATTAAAAAATATTATTGAAAGTTTTTAATAATTTAGTTTTGAATTTAGCTGTTTTATTTTAGTATGTTTTGTTTTGTGACCAATTTTATCATGCAATTTTCCTTCCAATACGTGGAATTAGAAATCAAATTTCGTCACGTTCCCAAATCGACAAAGTTTTTGCCGCGAAAAGCGACGTTGTTTCTTTGGTGCGTCTTTTGTGCTGCAGGTTTTTATTTGGCGGCGACACGCGAAGAGGCAAATCGCCGCAACTCCCCAGTATCAAAGCGCAAACTTTTAATTTGACCGCAACACCCTTCATTGATTTTCACACCCCTTCTTGGTAACAATTTGAGCATAAGTAATAATGCGCAGGCAATTCAACTCGCAATACTGATTAAATTTTTAGCGCCTCGTAATTTAATCCTGTTATATAATTTAATGAGAAATTAAGTGCAGCTTCATTCAAGTTGAAATTTGAAAATGTAAAACAGTAATAAATTATTTTGTTTTGTACCTGAAATTCCGAAAGTTTCAAATTAAAATTTTTCAGGAATAAAAGGGCGTGCAAAAGTATTTAAAATTTTTAATTATTTTCTTTAAAGATGTTACAGCGTTCAAGGTCTTGCTTTTGAATGGAGAAGTTCAAATTAGAACACAATTCCTCTGCTCTGTCATTCTTCGCTCGTCCAGCTTTTGCAAAAATTTATTTATTAAGTAAAAATAAAAATTTACTTGATTAGTAACCTTTGGCACCAGTGCACCTTAGAAGGTGCTGCTGGATGAGACACTGCAAAATCAGCAAGGAAGATATTTTGCAGCCTCGTCCTGGGGATTGTACAACTGTCCAGTTACTTCCTAAGATGTTATTATTAAATTGTTTGAATATGGTCGTCCTTAATTATACGTTTGATAAAATTTTCACAAAACTGAAAGTCGGTCTTGTTGATTTGAGCCTTTCCTTTGTATGCGGATATGAGCCCAAAATCAGGTTCATTGGTTGATTCACGCACCTATTTAATAATGAATTAATTAAAATACAAAATATTAAAGAAAAAATTCCAACCAAACCGAGCTGCGTCAAAACGCAATGCGTAAAACACTAAATTTTATTCACAATTTATTCAATTTCTGTTTTGAATTTCAAAAAGTAAACTCACAAAAGTTTGCTCCTCAAATTTCAACTGCAAATCTTCCATTCATTTTTTAAAATACAGACATTTTTATATTTTAATAATTTTATAAAATTACTGTTCTTCTGTTCGAATACAATTTGAGTGGAATTTTTCTTCTTGAGCAAGACTCTGTTGAGAACATAGTTAGTTATGGAGGAGACGACCCAGTCCTCGTTCAGGGAACGGTCGCTGCTTGCCATGGACGCCAGACAAAAGCTTTGGGCGCGCGGATCGTCAAAGGGTGACACGTACGGCTCGCAGCACTCGGAGAAAATTTCATTCTGGAAATATTTCTCATTTTTCGCCTTTTCACAATAATTTTTAATATTTCACGTCGAAGGGAATGGTGGCGCACTTTCGCCACGGGATCACGTTGCCAGCCGAAGAATTTAAGTAGCACGGAAATTGGTCCAAGGTTTGGTGCGAAAATTGGAAGCAATCTAGCATGCATTTCAACTGCATGTCTCGTTTAGCAAGTCCCCAAACTAGTGGCAGAAAAAAATTTGGATGAAGATTAAAATTGAATTTTTAAATTTACCAGACTTGATTGAGTCGTTTTTCGATATAAATTTGATGCTTTCAAAACGTTCTGAAAAAAATTGCTGGATCTAAAAGAAAATTGATGGATTAAATTTTAAAATTTCTATCAAAACTTGCATTCATCAAAAGCGTTGCAAGAAGAATTGTGCGCATTTTGAAACCAGACACACATATTTATTACGTAAAGGGAGAAATTGCGGTGATTGTGAGGCCGGAAGGAAGTGACCAAATTGAATTGTAAAATTCTCCGAAGTTCAATTTTACATGCACCAAATTCAAAACGTGGATATTTTGTGCAGTTATATAATTTTATTTTGCAATTTTTATCTCAATTTCAAGGATAGCTGCGAGTTAAGCTCTAGTTGGCGATTTGAGTAACTACCAGAGCTTTGTGCGGATCGTCTCACTGAACCGTGTTGCCCTCTAACGCTCACTCTGTCAGTTTGCGGGGTCAAGGGATAGCTTTAAATGAACATGAAAATGTTTTAAATCCCTCAAATTGAAGCATTTTTTAGTTCAATTTATTTTCAAAAGTGATTATAGCTTTACACTTAATTAATGATTAAGATTGAAAAATTAGAGGGAAATGAAAATCATTATTCTATTTAAACGTGAAGACTTTCAATTGTTTCACAATATTAATTTTAAAGTTTCAAATTTTTTTAAAATATATATGGAAATCGAAGCGCATTCCTCCTCTTAATTTAATATTTAAAAAATACAATTTTAATTTGTACATTTTAAAATTGTTTTTCCTTCATATGGATAATCTTCATGCATGAATTAAGAAGTTTAATTTTTATATTTATTTTTCTTATTCCTACATATGGAAAAAATTATATTAATTTTATGTAAATTTGTAAAATTTTATTATTTTTAGTTCTAATTTATTCTGAATTGATTATAAGTTGAAAATAAAATCATAAATCTTTTATTTCCATTTTCGCAGAATCGAAATTTTGTTTGTGCATCCGAGGGCGTAAAAGAGATTGGTCCGACTATTTCGCTGCCGAGGGAAGTTGCCACCAGTGGTAGTGGTTTTGCCAAACTCATTTATATTGCCGAAGAGCTGTTCGAGAGCATCCGGGGTTGGCGCTGTCGAGGGGGTTGGTGGACGGGTGGTGGTGCGCGTCTGCGCTAATCCCGGCAGCAGCATCAAACATCCCTTTTCATCATGCAGACTCATCTGCGCTAATCCCTCCCTCTCTTCAGCTGCGTCCGAAGGCATTCCCTCCAATCGTTTTCCACATTTCCGGTGCGCTGCGGCTCGAAAATTCAGCGGGGCTGAAATTGTTTCTTCAAGAGAGGAAGAGAAATTCTAGTAAAACTCTTCCACAGTCAAAATTAGTTAAACAGAAAGGAAATCGGAAGATCAATTTGTTTTATCTAGCACGAAACAATCAAATCATGAAGATTTAAGATTCATTTATTGATCAGTTTTGAAAATTCAATTCAAATTTAGTTCTATTGTTATTTTATGAATTCTTTTATTGCTAAATTTGAAGCACATACAAAAGTTAGCAATCTACAAAAGAAATGCAGTGCAGGAAAAAAATATTGATATTTTTATTGTATTAATTAAATCAGAACCAAAAACATTCACAAATAAGTAAAAAACATTTTTCATTAAAAATTAATAAATTAAAGGCGGAGCAACAATTTTGCTTAACAAAATAATAATTCCCAATAAACATTTCAAATTTTTAATGAACTTGTTCATTAGAAAATTGTATCATTTTACTTTCTTGATAGCTTTATTTATTAACAAAAGTTGCCCGTTTTGCCCTAAAAAAACACAAGAAGAAGGTTTATTAAGTTCAATACTTTTAGGTTAGATTAAAATTAAAATAAATTATCTAGTTTGTAAAATTAATGAACAATTAGTATTCTGAGAAATTATGCTTAGGCAGATAATTTATTAATGTATTTAATTTCGGATTAGACGAGTTTCGCGTTACAAATTGGACGCGTCGATCGGATGGACGAGAGGATTAATTCCGAGCACACATGCTTGGCACTCATTGATTATGTACATTGAGACGAGTACGCGGGTAAATCCTTGGCCACACATTTTGAGAGTGCACTCGAACGAACCCCCCGAACTGTAGCGAAAAATAAACATTTGCAAAGCGTCCGTTGCATTCCCGAAACGCGCCGATTTTCCCACGATGAAATTTTAATTTTGTATTTAAAAAAATTGCGAGCTGTTAAAGTGACTTGTCTGTGGGTTGTGCGTATTTTCCGCCTTGGAAAAGCGCCGCCATGTTGGATGCTTGCGACTGGCTGTACGAAGATTGATTACTCTTCTCTGCTAGGGCAGGCAGAGGGAAGCGAAAGAAGAGGGATGGGGTAGGAGCGGAGCAGAAAAATAGCAGCGAGCGCCGGAGAAGAAAAGCAAGTCGATACAGCCCGGAGATAAAATGAGCAATAAAATGAATTTGGCTCCGGCACAAAAAAAAGGAGAAACGACGGACTTTTTACAATTAGTCCAAGGAATTAAGTCTCGCTCTCTTTGATAATTTTTTTCCATTTCTCATTTTTTGATCAAAAACTGCGATCGTTAATCCTTGAGCTGCTCTCGTGCTAGCGTTTTTCTCAAAGACTTGTTTGTTATTCGCGTGTAATAATAACGCGCTCGCGCGCTCACGGGGCTAAACTTTTAATCGCTTAAACTGCTTTTTATTTGTTTATAAAGTATTAAGTGCGCAGAAAGCAATGTTGGCTGGTAAGCCCTTCAGCCTGTTCTCCAGCCGGGGAGGAAAAAGAGAAAGGTGGCGCCGCTGCCGAGCTGCAGAAGTACAGAGCTCAACGTAATGAGCGCGAGGGATTTCGCAAACGGCGCCACCGAGAAATTTCTTCCTGAACATATTTTCAGCGCAGGGACCGTCGAAAGAAACGTCCTTTTGCTAAATCAAAACTTTCCTTTGAATTTTATGGCCGAAAACTTCTAATTTAAGAAGTTTCCGCTTTCAAATTTTATGTATTTTACTGATTTTCTATAATTTATGAATTTGAAAGGCTTTAAAAATGGAATAAATTTGCACAAGAAAATGATATAGTTGCGAAATTAAATTTTAGTATTAAATTTATTATTTTAATTTTATCCTAATAAGTGTTTTGAATCCCTTTGGGTGGTAAAATAAGAGATTCCTAAGTTTTGAAAACTTAAAAATTGAAAATGAAAATTGTTAAAATAATAAAATTTGGTGGGATTTCTAATGTTTTACAACGAGAGAGGGTTGAAAATAACAAACATTTTTCAAGGGTAATGTTTTATTATTATTGGGTTTTCTTGAATTTTTTATTAAGCTATCACGGAGATTTTGTAGTTTTGAATGTTCAAAAAATGATATGGAAAATTGTTTTCTATAAAATAAGTTTTAATTTTTTATTTTCAAATCTTTATCATTGTCTCTAATTTTCTTTTTGCATTTAAAAAACTTACCGTATTTATGTGATGGCATAAAAAGAAATAACAAATTTGTTGAGTTTCGACTTCTTAGTCTTAGTTTTTCGTTTAGCCTCTTCCTCAGCGGCGATTTCGCTGGCCGGTGCTCCTTCCTCTCATTGCGGACTCGAGCTCACTCGCATATAAAACATAATATATGGCCGAGAGCAAGGGGCTGGTCGCGGTGGATTGTGTGTCGTCATCATGTCTGTCTTGATGAAGATAAAGCTGTTGGTGTTGGTGGTCTGGCAAAAGGGCATACCTTGGGCTTAATCCGTTGCCGGCGCTGCAGTCATCTCTCAATGTCACCGCGGCGATAGAGATTAATGGCGTCTTATCACTCTCTTTCCCTTTACCGACCCATCTAAATTTAAGAACAACCACCACGCAGCGAGAAACGCAGCAGCGCCGCCGCAGTGCCAATCCTAATTGCCGCAGCAAATTTTTTACAAAACCAAAATCGACGGAAATAAATATTATATTTTCCACCTAAATAAGATCTCGAACGTTTGGTTTTTTTCTTATTTTATTTATTTAAAATATATTGTAAAAAAAAAAATTTAATAATAATCCTGAAAACTTTTCATTGGATAAAAATCTGGAAGTAAAGTGAATATTTATTGCAAGTAACTTTCAAAATTTAAAAAAAAAATGTGTTTTTACTGGTGTTAATTATTGTAGAGTTTTAAATTATTAATTTATTGAATAAATTACTACGTGTGCCCCTGCAGAACTGTAGATAGGCATTTTGCTCACCACTCCTGCCGTGCAGGTTGCATAACCACGCGTTTCCACGATTCCTGTTTTCAGGAAAAAAAACATCGCACGGCATTATGAAAATCGTAAACCGGCGTCGCTGATAATTTATTTCCCGGCCTCTCTTTCTCTTTCCTTCTTCCTTTTTCACTTTCGCTCTCTTTCTTTTTCCACCTGCGAGAGAGACAAAGACGGAGGAAGAAATACAGCCGGCGGTGGCACAAATTTTCTTAAGCGGATCAAATGACTAGCACGCGGCAAAGCCGGGAGGACTTAACTTGACTTACGCTGTGAATCCGACCTGTCACACGAGGATTCACCAATATGGCGGATAGCCAGCCCAACTAAAGAAGAGAGCACTAACCTGTCTATACGCGCACCCCCATTTTTTATCCCGCCGAATGGACTATTGCGCGTCTCTCCTTCTTCCGAGCCACTGCCGCCTAGATTTGTACTTTCCGCGCGCGCTGATCTTTTCTCCAGTTTTACTGCCGAATGTACACATTCAAGGTGTCATTCACAAGATTTGTAACTACAGTCTCGGAAAATTCTCAGGATAACGGAAAAAGGAAATAATAAGAAGAATTTAATACAATTTATTAGAAAATTATTTAACATTTAGAAAATTTGGAAGATATACTTGGAAATTAAATTTCTCCAATTATTATATTGCAAAAGCTGTTAAGATAATGAATTAAATTTATTTCAATTTAGATTAAAATTTTTCAAATCTATCCTAATAAAAAAGCAGATGATCTGGTCTTTCCCAATATCCAGATTTTAAAAATCTGACCAGCACTTCTTAAGCTAAAAATAATTGCTGTTGATATTCCATGATTTTAATATTTTTAATATTTTTTTACTCCAGATTGGTAAAATATTGTCTAATTTCTTTACCATCATCGGTGGAATTATTTTTAATTTTTTTTCTGTAGTGTTTTCCTTATCTTGCAAAGAATGGTTTAGTCTGAAATCCGAAAAGCTCAGAGATAACACTTTTACAAAGTGCAAAAATCCGGCCGGAATGTCTCTTTCTTTTTGGGCACTCTTTTTTCCGGGGCGGTGGAGAAAACAGGGAACGGG